TAGTCTAGAAGTACGATGGGTAGATAAAAGATCGGTGGTGGGCGAGGATAGGTAGGGATGACGTTGTTGATTTTGCGAGAGAGGAGGTAGGAAACCCAGAAGAAGAGCGGTACGGAACGGTGCGTGTGTATGTGTAGAGAGTGGATAAGCGGTTGATGGGTGGTATTCGGTTTGGTTACATACGGCTCCGCAGAACGACAGAGAATGTGTTCGCGGGATGGGATTGACTCATTGTTGAGGACCGAGTTTTGAGGCTAACGCGAAGAAATATTCATCCACATGATTTTGGTACAGTCGAGGAGAGGATATAGTCCTTCATTCAAGATATGTGGTTGTCGTTTGCAATAACCTGTGTGAACATCATGTCTCGCTCAATGTTCGCTGAATGGCAACGTCGACAATTTGAGACCATATATACACCGAGACCCCAAAGCGGTTTGGTTTGAACTTAGGTACCCATCACCTTACCTAGAGGTACCTACTCTTTCCAATCATCAAGTCACAACTTCCTCGCCGCATTTTTAATGCAAGCCTCAATGATATCTACCCATCTCTCGGCGTTACTCCAATCCCTCGCATCGATGCTTTCAACGAGCCCAGGGAACACCGCTATGAAACAATTCAGTTAGCATCAAATCATCTAACAATGCCACGCAGAGAAGGGGACTAAAGAATAGAGAAAAAAAAAAAAAAAAAAGAGTAAGACATACCTCCAGAATACCCAGTCCACAACCCCGGCGCAAACACCACATGCTTGAACCACGGTCTCCCATCTAACCCTTGGCTGAACAAAAAGTTCCTCTCGATATACTTGTACTTGGTGTTAACCTTGCGGATCTGATACCCCAACTTGATCTTCTGGTGCCAGTGATACCACGGGATGTGCTCGCGTGCCTGGCTCCTGAGGTCCTCTGCTTCGGCGTCGAGGCGGGCGGCCTTTTCCGTTAGCTTGTCAACTGCGTCGTGGAGACGCTTGAAAGAGTCCCGGAAGGCCTTTACGGCGGCCTTGGAGGTGCTGGATGTAATGGCAGTGCTGCTGCTGCTGCTGTTGTAGTGATTGCCGCGCAACTCGGAAATGACCTGCTCGGTGAGGGTAGAGATGTCGACCTCCTCCTCCTCCTTGAGTGGGTGGAGCACGGCGTTCAGCTTGTCTTCTACCTGGGTGACGTAGCCGTTTAGCGCCGTAGCGTAGCTCTCGGCGCTGAAAGCGAGCACAGGAGGATGGGCGAGCTCGGCGATAAGGAGGCCGAAGATCTGGGCCATGGTCCGGTGGTAGACGAACCCTGGGTCACCGTACTTCTTCATCCAGTAGAAACTGTCGTAGTTGCTGTGGTAGTGGTAGACCGGGTCGTCTTTGCCAGCGCCGAAACCAACGTCCAGGGAAGGGATGCCGGCGAAGTCCTGGAAGGCGGTAAAATCGCTGCCGCTTCCCATGGTGTCGATCTTCTTGTCCCAATTCTTCTCGAGGATGGAGTGGCCCGGATGGTCGGGGGACTCGACGGCTCCGGTGGCGGAGTAGATGATGCTATTGAGGAGAGGAGCGGCAGAGGCTGAGAAGACCTTACCCCGGACGCCGACGTCGATGTTTAGATAGGCAACATTGGCGGCACTCAACCAGGGAAGATACTCCTCAACCCATTCGGTAGATCCGACAAGACCGTATTCTTCACCATCCCAGCTAGCAAAGACGATAGTACGCAAGGGCTTCCAGCCAAGACGCAAAGCTTCTCCGAAGGAACGGATAACCTCGTTGAGAACTGCAGAGCCGCTATTCGGATCACCAGCACCGCCCGCAATCCAAGCATCGCGGTGGTTGCCGATAACTATGTTACAAGTCAGTATTGGGCTCACGAAGGGTACGTCTCCCGCATGTCCAGGGGGGGAAGATGACTCACCAATCACCTCATCCGGAATCGTACCGTTGATGATGCCGATAACGTTCCACAAAGGAGTAGTAACGTATTCCTGCTCGTTGTATAGGTTCACAACAACGTCATCCGGCGTCGGTCCAATGTTATAATGAACGCCCTTGTGGCCTAGACCAGTCCGAGCAGTCCACCACTTGTTGAAATCCGAAGCCTTGGGACCATGGCCATTGAGGGCCTTGAGAATAGGAAGAGCTTCGGCGTAAGAGAGAGGGATCGAGGGTATGCTGGGAATAGCTCCGTCAACCGGCCCCCGAGGGACACCGGGTTTGGAAGGATAGCCCGGCGTTGTCCTGTTATCAACGTTAGCTCTTTCTTGATATACAACTGCCAAAACACAATGACTTACGGGTCGCCTGGAGCAACACTGAGGAATTGGGTACTTCCCCGCTGGACACTGCTAGGTTGACGAGCCGGTCCTTCGGGGTAAGGAGCGTAGCCGTTCTCTTCAGTCATTTCACCATCTTCACCGGGATCAGTGAAGATGATAACGCCGATCATCCCCAACTCCTGCGCCCTCTTGACCTTGAGCCCACGGAAGATGAGGCCATAACGAGCAATGGCGATCTTCCCAGCAAGGCTGACGTTGGCCTTGAGCAGGTCCTCAAAATCCTGGTACGTGCCGTAGTTGACGTAGACCACGGGTGCGGTGACGTTGCCGGAAGCAGAATAACCGTGGAAGACGGGGACTCTGTCGGGCAAACTTGTGCTCGGATCCTCGTCGAGGATGTCCTCTTCAAGAGTGGCTTCAAAAGAAACCCGCCAGTTGTCCGAGCTGCTGTCGTTCTTCTTGTCATCCTTATTAAGGAGGGCCAGGCGATGGTCGACTGGGTAGTTAATGTAGACCTCGTAGTCGACGATGTGTGACTGGACACCAAATTCTTCCCACTTTTCCTTTGTCCAGAGTGCCTACAAAAGGAATGAGAATGCATGGCTTTTGACTATGATTCTTGAGGGAAACGCTAACATACCTGGGAGTAGTTTTTGCCAGCAAGATGGGGCCCGGCAGTGTAGTATCTCTGCCACTCCTCGGCCTTTTTGCTACTAGGAGTGTCAAGAAGTAGCTGTCGCAAGTGCTTATAGTCTACCTTGCTTCGACCATGACCACAGCCAGGCCACGACGAAGGACGGGGAAGAAAAGTGAAGGAGGCGATGAAGAACAAAAAGAACGAAAAGAGGATGGAAGAAAAGCAAAGGGTAAAGAATCGGCGGGCGACATGGTGGGAATACCGACGCCGAGGAGCAGCCCCAACTTCCACCGTGGCGATGAGGGGGGTATGCTCCGAGGGGGTACCCATGTTGAAGCTTGCTTAAGCTGTATCTATGTTTGAATATCTAGTTCGATGAACACTGCATGTTGAGGGTCAGTAGCTGAAGGAAAGGGTGTTATCGATGGAGGTGGAAGAGTCTTGGCTTGAACATCCAATAGGAAGTAAACCGAGGGTTTCACGGTCCGAGAGCGGGAAACGAGTAGCCCATATCGGGACAACTGGTCGCGTGAGAGGGTGTGAGGGGAAGTGGACGAAGAAATGTTTAAGCGATAGAAGAGGGTGCGATGTCTCACTTACACTTTGTCGAGTGTCCTTGGAGGAGTGGAGATGATGGGGTTTGGCCATGCCACGATGAATACAGATGGAATTTACAGTGACGAGATGAAAAGAAAGGAAGTTGAGCGAGTTCCATCGGAATGAAAACGTCGTCACCAAGTTACCTCCTCACCTAACGTAACCTCACAATCTACTTAACTGTAGTGACAAGTGACTCCCTAGGACTCTCTACCTATCGGCAGGTCTCGCAAGCTAACAAAGTCCGAGTCGCCTGCAGCCACGGGAGGTGCCGCTATATCCGATTGTGATAACGGTGCGCCTACCAATCATTCATAAGAGTTTCCCGAGTCGAATTGAGGTCGGGTTCTTCAATGAATGAGTTATCGACGGTGACATTGGTAACAATTCCTCGACTTTACGGTTGGCGTCATTGCAGGGCTGGACGGCACAATCTTGCCTGGCCAGGCTTCAATACTATCGTAGTAGTGACCCCTCATGGTTTGAGGGTTGAAGTTCCCCGCACGTTCGATGTAAATACAGTACGAAATCACGGTCGTCATTACACTCTAGCACAGTGATTGACCGTTGAATTGCCGTTGGCCAGTGACAGGAGGAGTTGGATTTCCGTTCGTTTTGGCTGACGCCGATCCGCAATCGAAGCCAAAAACGAAACAGAAAAAACACGATCCAAAAATTGGATATTTCCGCCCACTAGGTTTGCACAGTCCGTCTCGTGTATCATCTGATCACTTCATCAAAAGCCATCAAACTGTAAGCCTCGAGGTCTGGTGGCCATGTTGACTTTGGCGCCCTTGACGCGGGAGTCAATAGCCTATGCAGTAAACAAGGCTTGTTGAAGGGCGGGCAAGAGTTCCGTAAGTGCCTGCAGATTTGAGTCACGATGCTGTACTGATGAAAGGCGAAGGTTGTACTGCGTATAGCATATAAGTAAGCCGGCGTTCCAATGGCAGCCAATGACAATTGAGGGTGAACGTCAACCCTGTGATCTTCGAGGCCGACCACGGCTTCGGACACACACCAATACAGAGGGCGGAAAGCCGACGGGTTCCCCGAATGTAATATGTGCGTGTGACTGCTGAGACAGAGAAAGGTGCGATTAATATGCATGCAATATCTCACAACGTCAACAGAGTATGGTGAGTTCTGACACATACTGACATCGATGCTCCAAGAGTCCTCACCGGTCGAGTCACAGCCGAACTACAGCTCACCGCCGTTATCAATTGGATGTACAACGCTTGACAGAAGCAAGAGACCATCCATTGAGGATGATGATAAAACTGGAAGGGGGCTCAGGCAATTCTTTGCCATTCATAAGTTGTGTTCCATGGCTGAAAAGGACAGTCACAGATAAGTGGAATTCCCCAGCCAAAGATTCTTTTGTACCTGCAGTGAACCAATTCCTACAGGAAGCGAATGGTGGACACAATGGAATACGGTGGGCTCCAGGCAGCTTTCTCAATGGCTCGGCAAGGGTCCTTTTAGCGTTCCAAGCACTGCAAAGATAGGCAATGGAACATCGTCCATCCGTACCTCCCGTTAGTTCCGCATAAAGCCGCATGTGACGAACAGCGATCCTTTTTCTCGACACCACCGTCCTACGCCTCTTTTTGGCTGATAACTTTTTTTTTTTTTTTTTTTTTTTTTTCCGGGGTCTAGGATTCGAGTTTCTCTTGCTGCTGCGCTTTCTTCAAATTTTCTAAATACTTTTTTCTTGTATTTTATTTTCTTCTTCCTGATCCGCTTTCTGCCCCTCCTTCATCTGTCATTTCAAGGGCCTCAAAATCTGACAACCTTCACACCGATCCTGCCCTGCCACCTCGTCCAGTCATAGTCGCCACCCCGTATAAGATAGTAGACTCTGGCGCTTCTTCTTCATTGCTTAAGTTATTTGCTTGAGCAATACATTTGCTTCCACTTCAGAATATACTATCCTGGAATTCATTTTTTGCATCCTCAAATCCAGAATTACGAGCTATACAGAGTAGACCATTGCCATCATGGTAACGAAAAACAAAGATGGCCCCAAACTGCCAAAGCAACAGCTGGCAATTCTGGGTAAGTAGCCATCATTACTTTTAGAATCATATTACACTGTTGAAGAGCCCCTTAGTCCCCTCTGCAAGTAGTCATATCTCATCTGAGTGAACACTATGCTAACAATCATCAACCACAGCCATCGCCAGATTCGCTGAACCCTTAGCCGCAACATCCATCTACCCTTACCTCCCCGAGATGATCAAGAGTTTCGGGGTTCCGAAGAACGAGGTGGCGAAATGGGCCGGCTTCACAGGATCCATCTTCTCAGTTGCGCAAAGTATGGCCGCCGTGCCTTGGGGGAGAGCATCCGACCGGTTCGGCCGCAAGCCCATCATTCTCCTCGGTATCACCAGCACCATGATCTGCTTCATCTTATGGGGTCTATCGACTAGTCTCACCATGGCCATCACCGTGCGGTTCATCATGGGAGCTGGAAATGGAAATGGTAAGAAAGAGACCTCGGTATGCTCAAACAAAGGAAACACTAACATATGGGCATTCAGTCGGCATCCTCCGAACGATGGTAGCAGAAATGGTTCCTGAAAAGGAACTCCAACCCAAAGCCTTCTCGCTCATGCCTCTCGTCTGGTCCATCGGCAGCGTCTTTGGTCCCGCCTTTGGCGGTTTCTTCGCCCAGCCCGCCAAGCAATACCCTTCTCTCTTCGGCAACATCGACTTCTTCAAAAAGTACCCCTTTGCGCTCCCCAACATCGTCGCCGGCATCATCTTCTTCATCTCCCTCATGACCGGTCTCCTCTTCCTCCGTGAAACGCTCGAAAGCCGACGCGGCCATCGGGATTGGGGTCTCGCTTTGGGGGAGAAACTCACTCGCCCCTTTAAACGCCGGGGCCCTCACTATCACCACCACCGAAACAATAGACGACACTCTTTTGTCGACGACGGCGCCTCCGCCCCCTTACTCGCCCCATCCTCCCTCTCCACCTCCATAGCCTCCTCCGTGGAAACCGACCCTCCCACCCTCCGCGAAATCTTCACCCCGCAAACCATCATCAACCTAACCTCGTACACCTTTCTCGCCCTCCACTCGGTAACCTTCGACCAAGTCCTGCCCGTCTTCCTCAACTACCCGCGCGTATCCCCGCACGACCGGACCCCATCCAACACGCACCTCCCCTTCAAATTCTCAGGCGGCTTCGGTCTGAGTTCGGACAAGATCGGCACCATCTACACCGTGTACGGCATCGCGTGCGGCGTCGTCCAGTTTTTCTTGTTTCCCTGGTTCTGCGCCCGGTTCGGGGTCTTGCGGTGTTTCCGCGCCGCCACCCTCCTTTTCCCCATCGTCTACCTGTTGACGCCGTACACGGCGCTGATCGAAGACACACACACGCGCTACGCCGTCTTCCTCACCCTCATCTTGGTCAAGGGCGTCGCTGTCATTATTGGCTTTCCCTGCACGACCATCTTGCTCACCAACTCGGCCTCCTCTTTACGCATTTTGGGAACGTTGAATGGATTCGCGACGACTTTTTCGGGGTTGGGAAGGGCGATTGGTCCCGCTATGGCGGGAGCGATCTTTACGTGGGGAGTGACGGGGAGGGATTATATCATTGCTTCTTGGTGGTTTTTGAGTCTTGTGGCGGCCATCGGAGCGATACCGAGTTGGTGGATTGTGGAGGGGGAGGGGCCATCGAGGAGTTTGCAGACGGATTCTGAGGAGAGTGGTGAAGAGGAGGAAGAGGAGGAGGAAGAAGAGGGAGTGGAGGTGTTGAATGAGGGGAGTACGTTGGTTTCGAACTTTCAGGGATCGAGGGCCGGCTCGGCTGTGGATGGAGGGTACGGGACGATAAAGAAAGATGCGCAGGAGGCGAGATAAATGGTGATGCCTTGAATGAATCATGAGAAAGGGGGTATTGACGAATGGTAAATTGACAACGATGAGTGGAGGACGGGGTTGAGCATTTTCTTGGTTATTGAGCACGGCATGGCGTGGAAGAACCGTTGCTTCTCATGATACCCGTGTGCTATCGATGTTGACCATGGTTAGATTTCAGCTTTATTTTTGGTTGGATGGATCAAGGCGTTGCGGGGGTACCAAAAAGAATTGATTTACTGGTTTTTCATCATTTCAATGAACTTCGAGGGCTGGGCTGTAGCTAGATATGACAATTGTTGGTCCAAAACGTCAGTACTCGTCGATCTCGAATACATCGTCGTCGTAGATGGTAACAACAGATGCAATATTTCGAGAAGTCATGTCACCTATGAGCAAGGATGCCACCTGTCACATCAAACAATTGTGAGAAACATAAGGAAGGTGTTAACGTTTTTGATCATCATCCACCGCTTATACCTATTTGCATCGTGACCTCTTTGGAGCCCAAAGTTGTTAAAGCACTTGGTTTAACAACCACCACCACCATTGTCACCCCAACAGAAGACCTTGCTTCTTCCCAGTTCCAATTCTCGCAGCAATTTTGTTTGTATGATCCACACAGACTTCTGTCTGGTATACAAAAACTCTCAACACATGAAATTCGTCTTCCACTCTCACCATCCTAAGCTCACCGACTTTGTCTGGTGACTGTGTCAACCCTTCTCAAGCCCCTCCTGAGCAATTTATGCTCCTTGACCCCTTCCCCATTTCGAGCACTTTATGCTCCTGAGCAACTTATGCTCGCTTTTCTCGTTTCTTTCTTCTCATCACCAACACTCAAAAGCCTATTCTCCCCTACCTATATGATGCGCACCCTATCTGCACCCCTCTTCCTCCCCCGTCCCAGTTTCCCTTCCTGTAAGTGTAGAACAGTTAGTCCCTGTATGATCAAAGAAAAAAGAAAGGAAAAGTAGGATACATACATGCGCCCCAGATTCCCCTTGACCCCGACCCTGGCATGTAGAAGAGTTAGTAAAGCTGCGGTAAACAGAAGGGCAAAGGCAAGAAGTGAACATACCTGTCGGGCCCTTGGCCCTCAACCTGCCCGGAGGCCAAGCTATCTACAGCTATTCTAGACAAAACCACCAAAGAAAAAACCACGCAAAAACACAACCCACTTCACACTTCTCCTCCCACGGCGTGCATCCGACCCACGGTCAAAGCCGCCTTTGGGATCACGCCTTCCCCTCTTCCAAACTACCCTCCACCACGGCATGAGTCCGGCCCACGGTCAAGCCGCCACAGGGACCACGCCTTTTTCTTTTTTTCTTTTTTTTTTTCTCTTTTTTTTTTTATTGTTCATTTTCTGTAAAAGCAGTCATGTGCTTATACTGCTGCCGCTCCTCCTCCTCCTCACCACCACTTAAAGATCAACCACCAATTTTGTTTCTTGTCTCAACCAAAAGACGATTCATTGTGCCATCAAGAAGACTGACTCAACAGCGCCAGCGCGCTCTGAAAAGCCCTCACCACCTCTGTCAAATGCTTTCTCCTCTGCGCCAGATTCTGTTCCGAAAGGCGCACGTACCGCTCGCGCGTCTGCAGACGCTTGACGGCGCGGTCCGTGTCGTGAGCCGAAGAAGATGAGGCCCACACGTTGAAGTACTGGACCAGCTGCTGGAACTCTTCAAGGAGTTCTTGCTCTTGGGCGTCGGCGGCTGAGAGGGACTCGGTGTAGCGCGTGACGAAGTCGTCCCAGTCAAAGTTGGGTAGAGTGCCTGGAGTGCTGGGCGACGAAAGAGTGTGCGCTGCGAGAATGTTCCGAGGAGTTGGGTTGATGGAGGTTTTGATTGGGTTGAGGGTCTGATAAAGGCTGTGGTTGTGGTTGCCTTGGTTGCTACTGTTTTGGTTGGTGATGGTAATCGGTTCGTTGGTGGGAGTGGTGGTGTTATTGCGCGGCTCAGGAGTCTTGACCTGGGTGCGCTGTGAGTTGTAATTGTTGTTGCTGCCTTGGAAAACTGTGGCAGGGAGGAAGGGGGGAGGAGAGGAGCGGTCTTGTTGATCCTGTTGGAACTGGGTGACTGTCGGCTCTGCGTTATTGCCGTGGTCACTGGGGCTGTTGGCCAGGTCGTCATCGTCGCTGTCCGGGCCGCCGCTTGTGTTGCTGTTGTTGTCCATGATAGGGACGATGGGCGTTGAGCGCACTGGTTGAAGAGGCGAAAGGAGCTGAGGCGACTGAGGCGACTGAGGTGATCGAGGTGATCGAGGTGATTGAGGCGACTGAGGCGACTGAGGCGATCGAGGTGATCGAGGTGATTGAGGCGACCGAGGTGACTGAGGTGACTGGATGTTGTGGTCAAAAGAGTCGTCCCCGCCAAAGTAAGAGCTGCGGTTGTGCTCGCTGCCGGCTGGAGAAGCGGTGCTTAGATCCGAATCAGGCGACTCTGGCCGTTCTTGCCGTATTTGAGGCGGGGTAGATGCCATGTTGTTGGTTTGTAAGGACAAGGGCGGAAGGCGCTGGTAGGCGTGAGTGAAAGGCAGGTTATGCTCTTTCCTTTTGTTGTTGTTTATGAGTTGTCGCAAGTGATGCCGCTTTCACTTTGCTGTTGATTGGATGTTTACTTGTTGTGTCTCTCTCTTCTGGGAGACTGACTGGTAGTTGTTTGTAGACTTGGCCGATATCTTGAGAGTATCTGCTGCCCGATGAGTGCGTTGTTGCCGATTGGATTGTGCTACACTGCAAGTTTTGTGCAAGTGTGTGGGTGTGACAGAGAAGTCGAGGTCTCGTCTTCGTCGCTTCCTTTCTGTGACCTCGCTTGGATGAGAGGACGTTGAGGTTAGGTACCTCTACTTTTGGTGAGACCGGGAGCCGCCGAATGGACGCGGTTGCAGCTGTGGAGGATTCGCTCACAGCGAGTGGAGGGCGCTGGAGCCTCTGGAAGAGGGGCCGAGAGCGATGGGCGGCTGTCGAGCTAGGCAAGAGCGGGAAGTGGGTCGGTACTACGCGCCAATCCGGGGCAGGTAGCAGGGCGTTGACACTTGACCAGATGCGGCGAGGATTGTGACTTGATGCTGTGAAACATGATCCCGGTGAGTGGTCCTCGGATGACGCCCAGGGGCGTGTGTGTGTGTGTGCTGGAGACTGTTTTTGATCTTGTTTATCTCCTTCTTGACACCAACACCGACCGCTTCTCTCTCTTTAGATGATTGGTATTGATCGATATTCATTCGTCTTGTTTCATCGCCGCTCGTCGGTATCGGTATTGCTTTGAGAGTATCTCATCGGGCAGCAAACATCGGCCGTTTCGTCATGTCATCGTCGAGTCTTTGGATGAAGATCTGTTCCATCGATAACCACCAGCATATCAAGTTAGCCCCTCTGTTGCTGACATCCACGAGACAACCCTTTTCCTCTTCGCAATCAAACTCACCACTTTGGATTTCTCGACGAAGCCATCTTTCTTGTTCTTGTTCAAAATGATTTGTTGCAGTCTTTGCGACCGCTCGCATCAGGGAAGGGTGCCTTTTCTCTGCGCTGTTGATGCGCACAATCGGCTTTACCCGTTCCGAGTGCAGAACGCACGAGTCCTAATCGAGAACGAAGAGTTAGAGCGCACCGTCGCAGAGGAGGAAGCAGAAGGACCATCCAGGAAGCCTTACCTGGACCGACTCAAGTCGGAAGTGGCTGCCGCTAATGCTCGAACCGCCGAGATCATGGCGCAGTGTGAGCGCTTGAAGAGACAGACCGAGCAGACCAGGAAGGAGGTCGAGAAGAAGAAGGATGTCCTCGCCCGGAAGAAGTCTGATTTATCGGCCATGTCGACTGGAGTTGCAGCGAGGCGAAACCGCCAGCTGGAGGAAACCCAGGAGTCGATCCGCCGTATTCGGTTCAAATGGGCTGCTTGTGCTGACACCATGGCGTCGACGAGATCGTTTCTGTGCGAGGAGGCTGCCAGACTGTTTGGACTTCGGCAGATTCGCAAGGGTTCTTCGAAACGGTATGAGCTCGGCGGTGTCGAGATTATCGACTTGCATGCTCTAAACAGTGAGTTAGCCCCTTTTCTCCCAATGCCTCCGACAATCAGCTTGACTTACTTTTTTTTTGTGTTTCTGTAGGCCTCTCACCGGAGGTTATCAACACATCCCTGGCCAACATCACTCATTTGGTGATGCTGACCTCACATTATCTCGCCATTCGGCTTCCTTCACAAATCACACTTCCACACCAAGACTACCCGCGACCGACAATTTTATGGCCACAGGCGTCTTATCAATTAGAGGAGCCACCGTTTCCGGCGGCCATGTTATCTGGTCAACACCAGCAGTCCGGGTTGGAGGGACCGCCGATCGATGTTGAGAAAACCAGATCTTTCCCCCACCGTCCCCGTCCGCTCTGGATCGAAAAGCCGCTGCCAGCTCTAGTCAAGGAAGACCCTCAGACGGCCGGAATGTTTATTGAAGCCGTCTGCTTGCTGGCCCACAATATCGCCTGGGCCTGTTGCACGCAAGGTCTCCCGTTTGGTTTTGATTCGCGGGATACCTACGATGAGCTGTGCAACATGGGCCACAATCTATATCGGTTGTTGATTGGCGATAATCTCCATCGGCGCTCGGTTGATCCGAACATGTTTCCGAAAAGTCCAAGCCCCAGTGGTCAAGGTAATGAGACGACACCGTCTGAAGAGAGTACGACGGCGAACAACAACCCGAGGTTGGTTATAGATCGCTGGTCTCATGGGACTATCCACAACTTCCTCGAGAGTTTGGAAGGGAAGGAGTGGTTGGACAGGTGCAGACTCCCCAGTCCGCACCGGATGTCGGATCGGTTGAAGAAGAAGTTGATTAACGAGGCGCCGATGTTGGAGTGGGAGAAGATCGAGGGTGACGAGCTGGACGATGCTTTCGAACATGACGACGGTCGTCTTGGAGTTTTGGTTAAGCGCCGTCGTCGAAGAGAAGAGATTGGTGATAGAGAAGGACGGGTGAACGGTGATTTCGGGGTTGAATCTGTTGCGACTGTTGTTAATGCCGGTGGCTTGTCGGGAGCCGTTGCCAGAGAAAGAGGAATTGGTTCGAGTGGTAATGCGGCTGGCTCAACCGACGCTGCTGCTGCTGTTGCTGGAACGAGTACTAGTAGTGCCAATACTAGAGGGACGAGTGGCTGGACGAAGCTCAAGAGTAGATAGAAGTTGAAGAGCTTTGTCGCGATGCCGCCATGGATGGTTGAATGTCCGTTATTCGTTACCTGGTTCCTGATTTTGAATTGGATTTGATTTGGTTTGTTTGGTTCATTTGCAGCAGCAAATGTTCGGCTTTCTGTTGCAGACATACCCAAGTCAGTAAACAATCCCAGATAGAGCGACAGAAGGAGAGATCAGGTGGTACATACATTGACAGTCTGTTGAGTGTTGCTGATTTTACAACCTGGACAGGCCAACTCAACATAAAACAACACGAATCTGTACAAACCGTTAGCCATTTGCTTCCTTCATCATCAGTGATCATGTGTTTGTTGATGCCATGGAACTTACTTTTTTCTTCGGTGTTTCAAGCTTTGCTCTTGAATGCGATTTTTGCACCCACAATGGATGGCCCAACTCAACATATTTTTCTATTGGTTTGAGTTCAGTTTGCATTATTCGGACCATCCTTTTCCCTTCTTTGGGGAGCCCCTTTTTTGGGGGTATCGATCTCGACAACAATGGGAATCCTCGACAACGTGAATGAGTGATTTGAGCAAGTTGGTTTGGTTCGGTTCGATATATGGTTTTGTTTCCATCGAAACCTGTTACATTCATCGTTAGCTTATCTGATATTCGAGCTGCACGAGAGGAGGAAAGAGACAAAAAAAGGGGGGGCAACTTACCCGAAGCTGTCGAATCGCTGGTGTTGATGGTCCAACTCAACATGTTTTTGGTTTTTGTTTTTTTTGTTTTGGTTTTTGGTTCTGTCGTCAATGTTAGCCATGCCGCTCGCCCGTCAAATCAAGAAAGTGGCGAGATAAGTGAGGACTTACTGCAATCTATCGTTGAGTTTGCTTTGGACCATCTGGTTTTTCTCCTTTCTTTGAGGAGTCCCCTTTTTTAGGGTACCGATCTCAACTGCTTGTGGGAGTGCTCGACGTGATTGATTTGGTTTGAGCGTGTTCAATTTGATTTTGTTTCACCGAGTCCTGTCATCTTTGTTAGTTATGTGTCAAACAGCAGAAGGAAGGGAGATAGATGGGAGAGAGGATTCTTACCCGAAGCTGTTGAATCGCAGGTGTTAATCTATGCCACGAGGTTTGCTTTGCTTCTGGTCGACAAGTTGTGATTGGTGTCGACCAAGCCATGCAAAGCTTTGCTGCCGGTCGTTTCAAGTGTAGGTTTTGGCTTTTGACCAGGCATGCAAAGAGGGGAATCGTCATGTCCCGACAATGTGAGTTTGAAGAAAGTTGTTCACGGTTTGAAGTTGTAAGTTGAGACATGGTTGATTCGGGTTTTCGTTCGGACTGCTTGCTCCTTTCTTGATCTAAACGGAGCTTTGAGATTTTGGTTGATCGTTTGCAGTCCTGAACATGCCACATGTTTGGACATCCTGAGTTTGAAAGTTTGAGGACGTCGCTGATGTCGAGACGATCTGAAGATTGATTTGAGTCTTGACATGTTGGTTTCTTTTGCTCGGGTCTGCTGTCACTGCTTTTTTTTTTTTTTGTGTATGTGTTTGAAGATTCGAAGATTGAAGGGTTGGTTGGTGCAGACCCAAACTTGTCACATTGGTGAACATCCATAATTGATTGAGGACGTTCTTGTTGATGTCTCGACAAGGTAAATCGTTGATGTCTTGACATGTTGATTTTGTTTCGTCAGCTGCTTCCTGTTTGAGTGAAGAAAGTGATGAAGCGGAGCTGAACTGGTCACACGTTGTTTCTTTTTGAGTTCTCGGGCTACTATGAGAGAGATGTAGCGCTGTTGAACTGGCCACAATCAATGGTTGGACATCCGAGAGTGAGAGAAAAGATGCTCGAATGAAGTGTTGCAATTTTTGTTTTGGTTTCATTTTTTTATTTTTTTCCGTGCCTTGGAGAAGAAAGAAGATTGGCGGCACTTGGTCATATGCTGTCAACATGCTTGAGTGATTGCACATTGATGGTCGCTATGATCTGGTCGAAACAGCACTGAGTGTCAAGATGCTGGTCTTCGACATGATCGTTTCGTCGGTATGCCTTGGTGAGAAAGAAAGCCGTCGGCAAACTGACGTGGTACTTGTACAGTTGTTGTCAGGTGATGGTCGTACATATACTCGCACATTTTTTGGTGATTGTTTTCCCTTTTCAATTTTTTTGTCTTGTTTGGTGTTTTCTGATTGATAGATGTCAAAAGATGAGTTGCCATGTAAGTATGCTGTCAGTCTCAAATCACTGCTGCTGTTTCGCCTTTCGAGAGTGATAAAGTTGCTGCAATGAAATCCGGAAGATGTGGATAAGTCTGGTAAGAAGATGATGTTGACAGTAATCGTGACAAGAAATCGCAGAAGACATACTTAGGCCTGAAGCTGGTAAAAGATGATCTGAAAACGACGAATGACTCGAACAGAAAAAGAACAGATAATCTGACAGAACGTTGTCGATTCGCCTTGCGAATGTGAGCGTGACTGACTCGGTAACGACGACGTTGAGGGTCGTGTTGCTGGTAGGACAGAAGGCAAGTGTGACTAGCTTGCCAACATAAGTTGTCGATCCGCAAACACGTAATGTCTCCGACTATAGGCGCCGAGAGATCAATGAGAAAATGCTTCCGATTATAGGCACCGGAGCTGATATCAGGTTGCTTTATTGCCAAGCGTGACTTCTTGGTTGCAACATATCGAGAGACAGAAAACTGTACTCCCTATTTCTGGCCATCCCACCCACCCTTACCAGAAACCTGATATAGAAAGATTCGCAGCACCTGTTCCCGAATGCGGCCTTTCGGTGGCGACTGTGCGAAGGAACTCTGTAGCCGAATGTACTCAGTGTGACCGCTGATGTCGACAATACGAGAGTGAGAAATGGGTAGTTGACTGATGATCATGAGAGGACAGGAATGACCAGCCTGTCATCATTTCACATACAACCAAACTCCCTGGTTCTGGCCAACCCGCCCACCCATGCCTGGAACCTCGTATTTAAAGTCGAGCCCGCTGGTGAGAGAAGTGTGTGTCATCGATGTAGAAGATTGTCGGAAAAGGGAAGAAAAAGGTGACAGTTCTGATGGAAAGGCGAAAAAAGATCCCGATAGACAACACACTCTCAAACCGAACGAACAAGACTGACAACAACCGAACACAGATCAAGGAATTCTAACAAGCTGGGAAGTTTTGCTTCGCGCCCCGCAAAACGACCCAGGTTCTCTGAGCTCCTACCCATACCCGCCTCATGCTCGAGAGAACAACGACAAGCTGGACTTATGTACGAACTTGAGTGGCGCCCGCCCGGGACCACCCATGCCGTTTATGCCATATGCTTATGTGTCGCCTTGTGATCCTTGTCTTAATTGCCGGTGTTGCTGTTTGAAGGAAGGTTGCGACGCCTTCTTGGTAGTTTTGCGAGGGGCCTGCGCCGAATGACCTCCTCATCGGCCCTCTGAGGGCCCTCCTCGTCCTCGCTGACCATGCCCAAAGCTCCAGTTCAAGGTCAGTGAAATCCCTCTCGGCGTCCTGCTCCTCGCCAGGCGAGTCGCTGACAGCCGGAGGAATAATCTCACCGGCAGGGGGAGTTGCCGTGGTTGAAGGAGTGACCGGTGCCGTCGCCATCGCTCTGCTCGCCCGCGACCTGGGCATGGCAATCCTGCGCTGGCTGATCGGAATCCTAACCTCCTCGTCGGAGCTCTCGATCGAGCAATCAGAGTCTTCCTCATGCTCGGTGTAGATGTCCGCCCCTTCGGTTTGCCGCATTATGTCCACCTGCAAACTCGCCGAGGCAACATCCGCCTGGGTGAGCCTCTGACCAACCAGGTAGGCCTGGTGCATCCTATCCATCTCATTCGTGGTCCATGCCGCGTCATGCACCCGGAAATTGGGATCATCCGGGGTGGTATGATCAGGCCTGAAGTCCTCTCCAAAGATGTTGGAGGGCGAGGCCTGGTTGGAGCCTGACGCAGCAGCGGGAAGAATTGGCTGGAATGTCGAGACCGAGGTGAAGACCGGTGCACCGACAGGGAGAGTTGGCTGGAACATCGCATTGGTGAAGTCCAATCCAGTAGAGCGAGGAGGAGTGGGCGACCGGTTGGGGGGAGTCGGCGCCGAGCAAACCGGAGGAGGGCTCCCGAAGAGCGAATAGTCCCACGACCGAATGGAAGTAGGCGTGCCCGGTGGTGACAAAACAAGAGAGCCGTTGCTTGCTCCATCGTCAACGTCAGGGGTGAACGTTGGCGAGCCCAACTCCTGCGTCTGATCTACCTCGGCCGGGTGCTCCAGGGGCTCAGGGTACTCCAAGTCTGATTGCTGGGGAAGATCGGGATACTCTGATTGCCAGTTGTTCTCTTCCGCATCGTGTTCGAGGACATAGTTCTGGAGCACCTGGAGCTGAGCCCACGCCTCAGGCTCGCACACCTCAACGCCTGGGTACTCGTCGGTAGCCGGGGCTGACTGAGAAACCTCCTGTTCAGGTTGCTGTTGAGCAACATCCTGCTCTGATGGTTGCTCAACCGCCGGCGCGATACCCTGAGTTACTGCCACATCAAGCGGCGTGTCGACGTACCGGAGATCTGGATGAACCGAGTTGATGTCGAACTCGGGAAGAATATCAGCAACCACCGGCCTCTGCTCGGACGTGACAGGAGAAGCTCGGTTGTCAACAGCCTGAGAAGCTGGAGTAACCAATCCCATGCCAGACTCTGCGGTAACGGAAACCGGACTAGGCTGAAGAGCCATTGGCGAGACCACATTGTCGAACATGTTGTCGAGATTGGGATCCACCAACATGTTGAAGTCAATCGTGTCGGAGACCAGGACGCGATCGGAAGTAGCTGCGGTCGGCTGCTCAACAATGTTCCAGGGTTGCTGCTGTTGGCCGGGGGTGAGCGCAGGGGGAGCCGGATAATCGAAGTGACCCTCCATAGTGGTATCGGTCTGGATGAAGTTCAAAGGCGATGTCATTTCGACCATGGGATACTCAGAAAACGTCGTGACCATGTCTGAATGGGGAACATCAACCATGTCGTGCTCAACAATTTGAGGCTGGATCAAAGAGGGCATCGTGAACTCAAAGTTGAAGTCGGTCTGACCTTCAGGAAACACCGAGGGAAGTTGCCAGATTGGTTGCTGAGAGCCGAGCGGGACAAGTTGAACAGCTTGCCCACCAAAAACGATAGTCTCAGGAGATTGCTGTGGCGGAAACAACTCCATGTCCGACGAGACTACGGGCGACTCTTCGTGCATCCAATCTTGGTGGCTGTCATCGCCGTCTTGCATCTGCTGGTCGTCGGATAGACCAGCGTTAACCGTAGTCGCAACTTCGATGTCCGTCATGGCCAGATCACGGTCCGGAGACACTTCACTGTGAGCCACTCCGTTGGACACAGGTCCTGCAAGAGACAAGACAGATGAATCCTCACCCATTTCCACATCATCGTCCGAAGGACGGGCTGATACCGGCTCCATCAAGACGGAGTCTTCCACCGAATCAACGACAGAAGGAACGAGGTCATCAGCGGGTGATGCGAGGGTTGCAAGAACGGGAACCTGGAGAGGCGACTGAACGCCATTTCCAACAGTCTTCTGTTCGTCTACAGATGTAGATACAGCAACAGAAGGGGAAATTCGCAAGACCTCAATACGAAGTCTAAGATCCTCGATCTCCTGCTCGGACACGGTGTTCCGCTCGCTCAGCTGCAGTTGGGATACCACAGAGGGCGGAACAGAAGAGACCGTGACAATCTCCCGAATAGGCTTCTCCGCCAGGATAGGCTTGGGAGCGAGCTTGTCGGGCATGCTGGAAATACCACTGCCAACAACTTGATCCTCAACAATGGTCCTAGAAACCAAGACTGGGGAGGGCGGTGTGATGACAATCTCCGGGGGGGTGAGCTTCATCTCCGCGTGGATCGGCTCCGGAGCGACAGTTGGTTCCGTGATGACAACCGGTTCAGAAATGGGTGCTTCAGCCACAGCTGCCGGCCTCGACACTGCCACCGCCATGAGAGATTCAGGAACCATCTCCTCATAGACAGAGTCCGATTGAAATAAATCATAACGGGGGGCCGGGACGTGGCGGCGAGACTTGGACAGCTTCTTCAGCACGCGCTCGTAGCGGGTGCTCCGTACGGGCATCGGCTGAGGAGCATGCTGCGTGTCGGCCTCGGGCAGTTGTGGCTGGTTAGGCGCCGTCGAACCTGGCGCGGCCTCTTCAACGATCGTCGGGGAGCTCGTTGCCTGACGGGCCTTGAACTGCTCGACTGAGATGCCCATTTCGCGCGCGGTCTTCTCCATTAGCAGTTCCAGACCCTTGACCCGTTCTGGAATGGACGGACGAGGAGGGGCAGGACTGGCGTGGACGACATCGAAAGCAGAGACGGCCGTGGTCGACTTGGCGACTTGGGTGTGCTCAGCCTGTTCCGGAATAACAGGGCTGGCAATTGGGCGGGCTACGTCTTCTCTGGTGCTGCGGTTCACGAGATGACCATCATCAAGATTCTCAGAACCCTGCCAGCCCTCGCGCTGGCAAAGAAGGTACTGAGGAACAGCCTGATGTTCCACGGTCATCTCGGACTGATCAACAGTCTGGTTGTCGGGCGCAATGAAAGGTGTCGGGGTGGGCGGAGGAACATATCGAGGAATGATAACAAGAAGGTACCACTTCTCCAAGGACAGGTATACCTTTCCGGTGCGTTGTTGGCGGAGACAAACGGCTTGAGAGAACCGGATAACCCATTGCGAAAACACCTTCCAAGCAGAGACTCCCTTGGAGGCGACAAACCAGACAGTTTCGGCGCAGCGACTGATTCTTCGACAGACCTTGCGATACCTGGGATGCTTCAAGCCGATACGAACCAACTTGGTGACAAGAACCGCAAGAACAAGGCCAGTCGAAACCGAGAGAAACAGCCGAAAGAGGTAGACGAGATCGAGATATTCAAGGAGCCTCTCGACGAGCTTCCAGAAAATCACCTCGGCTTTCTCCCACGCCACGACGGGGTGGGCGATTGCCATGGCTATTTGAGGGAGCATTAGTATCACTGATTGTCTGTCCGTTCTAGACTAGAAAACATCGACTTACTGCAGAGAAAAAAGGCACAGAGGCCGAAAGGGAGAGTGACAACGGTGGTGAGGGTGCAAACCCCCAACCACACGAAGGTGAGGAACCAGCTCAGGTGGTCTTCCATCTTGCTGCCACACTCAAAGCGAGGGTGCGATTGTTGCTGCTGTTGCGGTTGTTGTTGCTGCTGATGCTGCTGTGACAAAGGCTTGCTTGAACGATCGCGAATGCTGTATCGACGTTAAAAAACGGATTGTGCATGAGAGAAGAAAAGAGGAAGAGGAGGAAGAGGGAGAGAGGTGGAGGGGTTTTTAAAGTACCATCCACAATACTCTGCGGCCACAGCATTCACTCAAATCGTAGTTGGAAGGTGCGCCAACCTGGTCGATATGCTTGAGGGAGGCCGACTTGGGATGAAATCGCTCCCAGAGCGTCCTCTGGTTGGTCAACCGGTATGGTTGCTCCGTGGTTACTATGGCAAGTGACCGGCGACCTTGAAAATAACGGCAGACCGGTCGAGTGAATGGCTCCTGGTACGTACTTGGCAGGTATTGAAACCTTCAAAATCGTCACCTGGACCCGTCGTCCGAACTTTCAGGTCCGCCTCACTTTTGAGCTGGCACTTCCAGACCGCGGGGTAAGGATCCAGGTTGGCAAGACCTTCACCTTGATCTCACCTTCACTTCCGCTTGATTAGGTGGACTGTTCAGTGGCAGCGAGTCTATTCAGTGAAGAGGAATACCAGAGGTTCAGGTTCAGGTTAGCCATCTACTTACCAGGCATGTTGCAGAATCCTGACAGCCACTTTTACTTCACTTGTGCGCTAATCCGTGCTTCCCTATGTTGGTCCTGATCCCACGGTTTTGCTCCCATCCCCTGGACAGTGTTCTTGGTCTCTACAAAGGAAGGTACCTCTGAGTATGCTTCAAGATAGCCGTATTGTCGTCAAGACCCCGCCAACACTAGGCAGCCCCTCCTGCGTAATACCTATCTGTTTGAGGTAACCGTGTAAGGTATTGAATCTTTCAACAATTCAGGTTATCGCGGGGTCGTCTTCACCTCGAGGTTCTGGCCAGTGCGTATCTACTTTATGGCAGATTATGGACACTCATCCTCCTATCAAGACGTATCGGTTCGGCGAGGACCTTGATGGTCGCTCCGCCTTACTTTTGACTCCTCGGGTCGCTGTTTGTAGTCATATGAGGTGCGGTACTTTGGATACCCCATCGATGGGTCATGCGGTCTTGCATTTCCTACTATCAAGGGTGAAGATAACGAACTGCAAAATGAGATTTGGGTGAGGCCGAGCTCAGACCTTCGAAGTTGGGTGATGGGGAATGTCGGGACTGGTAGAGAATACCTTGAGAACTTCGTGTCCAGAAAGACAGTGGGCGAGTGAGGATATTTTCCATGTACAAATAAATGAATGTCGGTTGATATATCTAGTGTAGGTGGCTGTTTTGGAGCTGAGTGCCAAAATGGTGGGAGATCTCGTCGCTGAACGCAAAAAGCCCAGCCTGTGAAGCATACTCTCTGGTCTTTATACGGGGTTGAAAGGGTGTGTCAGAGCAAAGCATTGGGAACCAGATCAGCTTTATGGATCACAGCGCAAAGGAAGCACGCAGGCTATATGAGGAGCCCATATAGGATGCTATGCGGATCTTCCAGTCAATTGTATCGGTGGCATTATATGTTGCTACGCGCGCAAACAGTATTGCTCCAAGCAATCAGAGGTACACCAAAATGCCTTTGGTCGTGACAGCCTGGCGTGTCACCCTTGACCAAAGGGGTTTTTCCCCCTCGTATAACCATGATTCATCGTGCAAACAAGGAATGGTCATTAGGTATTTTTGATGATACATCATCACAATCAAGAATCCGTTGACTTTTGCTGCCTGCCACTGCGCGGACACTCTCACGTCATCACCCTGGGATTTGTGATGTTGACAGGAAAAATTGTCGATTACACCCATCGCATGCAGTAATAATTGAGAGAATTATTTTGGTAGTACGATGCGTTAGAGTGGTATCTGCGTCGAATGGTGATGATAGCGTGAATTTGCTACACTTGGAGTCCTTTTTTGACACTCCCTTGACACTCGCACTCCACCGTTTGGCTTTTCGTGTTTGCTTGAAACAAAACACTAGAAGTCCACTGGAAATCAAGACTCTACTCTCATGGCCATTCACTTTATGCATAGTCCTCCCTTTACGTCGTCTTTGTTGGACGTTTTGTGCGATGACGTGGTGGAGATGGGGTTCTATCTTGGTGTTCTCGCTACTATCATGACACTCAAATTCAAAGGCCCCAAATCAACGAAGTAAATGCAAAAATAGATCAAAGGCAAGGAGTTAAATTGATAATAAAGAGGTTTCTTGCAAAAACTTTGAGCTTTTGCTTGGTCGTTGAACTTGATGCTGATGGGGATTCATTTAATGGTCTGGCATCTGCTAGCTACGTACCATGCACCGGCATCCTAGGTTGGTTTTGTTTTTTTGTGTTTTTTTTTCCAACACCCACTTTCCGTTCCCCACCATTTTGAACTTGCCTCCAAATGCCCCAAACCAGCTGACTGCCTCCAATACGCTTTCATCAAACATCAAGTATATCCTCAGGCAGTTTTCTTGGCTTCATGTGGTTATAATGGGCGATTCGGTAAGGGGTGTTTTAGACATAGAGAATCTAGAATGGAGTATGCCGTATCGCAAACTACATCGTGCAATTTGTACGAGACCTGCACGATCCGATCTACCCAGACATTAGAGGCCGAAAGTGGGTAATTTAAGAGGCGGTTTATTGCAGTATGCGCATGCCTGGACGAATTGAGATAGATAGGTAGAAAGCTGAGTCGAAGCCGTAGTGTGCACCGAACCATAACCGCAATGAACATCTGCAAACGTTTCGCGATCATCGATTTATGTCGTGCATTCTGCTATCAAGATCCAAAGATCATTTTACTTGGACTTTGGTCCATTATCAAGATCAAGACTGGAGGTACCGCGTGTATACACCATCATGACTGGTAAACCAACCGGACGAGTCGGAACATGGTAGTCAGTCAAATGAAGGGTCTGGTCATCGCCGCAAATATCATCTGTCACGCTGATGCGGTATATCAAAAGATGTGGTCCATTTACTTTAAATTTGTCTCTGCCGACTGCATCCGTCATGTCAGGTCCTCATATATGCAGTCAACATTCAACTCCATGTCAAGAGGTATCATTTAACGATGCTAACGCTTTGAAGCGCCGTCGCTACACCGTTCAGTGTGATCTTGGTTTAAAATTTATGGTTCTTTTACAGCTTTTATTCTTCAGCCCACATTGAAGCCTGGAATCTGTTCGGCCACAAAAACATTGTATGTGCCTACCTGCACGCCTGGTGGATAGTCCGTGAAGGTCAATTATGTGAAAGGGAAATCCATGCACATTATCATTGGAATCTTGCTATATGCGCAACGAAACGGGGGCGGGTACATATCTTGAGATTGAACAACAGGGTAAGGTAGTCATCTATATCCTCCAATTTTATACGTCGCGGTCATCTTGACGACTTAGCCTCGGTTGCTTCTGCATTGCTGAACGCGAAGATTGGAGGAACTATGTGATAGAAAGCGTCCCCTGGAATGGAGATGAGAGAACTTTTCTTTTCTTTTTTCCTCTCCTTGGTCAAGGCTCAAGGGAGTAGGTTGTAGGACAAAAGCCAGCAGTCGGCCAATAAAGCAAATTCAGATTGAGGGCACACCAAGGAAAATATGTATATCAAAAAGCCCACAAGCAAAGTACACAGACTAAAGACCGCCAAGTTTATCCATGCAAACCTCAAAGAATCCATTCATTGTCCATCAAAAGCGTGGCATTTGACATTTACAAAGCGAACCCCTCAACACCATAGCGTATTCCCAGAGACAGACACCAAAGACATGGTCAATCAAGCGAGGACGATCAGTAGCCAGTAAACCATATAGTCTAGCCAAGGGTATCTATCATCATACCAATACTCGATACTCAAAAGCCATACTTGAACATCCTTCATCCGTACAACTCCCCATCCATCCGATTTCAGGCATTTAACTGAGACAACACGGCGCTGTCGTAGTGAACATTGTGTAGAGTACACAACGGGTCAGCCTATAAGCGTGCAGTCATTCAGCCGCTGTCGAACCCCTGCTCCATCAACCATCCACCTGAGCCACCCGAATTCCCAAACACCCAAAACGTTTGTTTACTTCAGCGCCACCCCCTGGTCTTGTAGGCCCTGCAGGTGCTGCGGCGTATTCGCACTCCCATTCGCCAACTGTGTCTGCCCAGAATGCCCCACCTTGGCACCCTTCGCCATCAGCCGCTTGTGCAACTCTAATACGACCTCACTCCATTCCTGTTGCTGCTGTTTCTTTTTGTTGCCGCGAGCTTGCTGCTGTTCCTTTTTCCCAAGCACTTGCTTCCCGAGCTTATTCTTGAGAAAGTCATTCAACTTGGACTTGGTGAACTGCTCGCCGTAAAGGACCTTGGCGTCTGATGTGACTCTTATGTCGAGTGCGTCGCTATTCTTGTTGCTGAGAATTTTCTCCAGGACTAGACAAACTTCGACGCGAGTTTGTAGAGGTGCCAAAAGCAGCGAGGAGCGGACTTCGAGGGTTGTATCAGATGTCCGAGTTACTTTGCTGGGAAAGCTCAGGTTGAGAAGCCGGATCTGCTCGGCTGCTGCGTCGGCTTTGTCCCACGCGTCGCTGACAATGGTGAGTAGGCGGTTAACGGATAGAGAGGATTGTGAAAGAGCTTGGAGGTGGCTGCTGATGCATTCGATGAAAAAAATCCTTTCTGGTGTCAAGGGAATGACGTTGCGTTCGCGCTTGTGTGCGATGTATCGGATGTCGATAGTGGGTCCTTGTTCGTTTTGTTGCTTAAAGGAGGCCAAGTCGAAGGCGAGTTCGATCTCTCGCTTGTAGGTCATGAACATCACCGAAGCTTCGATCTTGTTAATGGCCCAGCCGGAGTTCTTCTCCAGTTCGTCGACACGAGCTGCTGACATGTAAGTATCTGCTAGAACTGAACCTGAGCAACACCAAAATGTAAACACGTACCTTTGAGTGAGCTGATCTCCGTCAAGCTCCACCCCCTGCACTCCTCCCGAATCTTGTCGGCCGCCGTGATATCATCCAAGCACTGCTGCTTCTGATCAGCCAGGGATTGAACGCCCGCCTGATGTTCCTCGACCTGTTGGCGAAGCTCCTCAATCTTCTTGCTCTTCTCAGCAATGGTCTTGTCAAGCTCGGTAAGCTCCGCGCGAGCAGCCTCAAGGTCCTCAGGGTCGCAGTCCTCAAGCTCCTTTTCGACAGCCTCAAGATTTTCCAACTCGCGCTCAAGAGCTCCGTACCGCTTGGTCAGACTGGGAAGGACTGATGACAAGAGCTCCTGCTGCTTCCTTAGAAGCTCGTCGTCCTTGTCCATTCCTTCCGAGATCTTGAAGAGCCCCTCTTTGAGTCCTTCTTGTAGCTTCATGCGCCATTCGTACCACATCGCCTTGCTCAGTAGCCGCGCGTGGCTCTTGACGTTCTTGAACTGGTTATCCATGAGAAGCTTAAGCTCCGGAGTGGCCGAGATGTACTCCTTGAACAACGGCGGGTTTTCCACAAAGGTCTCGGTCTCGATATCGCGCACAATGCGGCGTCCCTCTGAGATGTATTTCTTCAGTTCACGACAGGACTGTTTGATGGTTAGCAATGGACATGATATTGTGTTTTGCGAGATTGACCTACATGCTGGTACAATTCTAGCATAGGCACCGTACAGGCACCAGCCACCACGCAACTCTCAAAGGTAACATCCTTATCCTCCGCAGATGTGCTGTCTCGAGAAGCCCCTGGGGCAATAGTGTGTCTTCGTTTAGTCGTAGTGAGCTCCATAAACCGAATACTCGTCATGTTGAGGAAGTCCTGCAGATGAATGCGCTCTCCGTCGTCATCTCGTTGCTCCGCATTCTCATCAATGTGGCCGGTGTGGTCAAAATCCATTGTAATTGTAGGCTGGTCATTCGCAACATACTTGAAACGACCCTGATTTCTAGGCGTCATTGTCCTTGTGGGAGAAGAGGGTATAGTTGGTGTGGCAGTATTGTTGCTTGTTTGGTCAACAGACTCAGAGACGGTCTCTCTGCCCGTTGTGGTCTCGGCCTTGGACGGAGGCGCCTGCAGCCTGATGTTCTTGACTGGACTGCCTTGATGTCCCTTCAAACGTTTTACTCCATCCTTTTCTGGAGTATCTTCATCAATATCCTGGTCCAACTCCACGGGCCGCTTCCCCAAAAGACCTCTTGCACTTCCTACGGCCAAGCTCTTTCGGCCACGTAAAGGCTTTTTCTTGGGCGTGAGCCCCTGAATCATCTCCATCAAATTGACAGTGGCATCTCGCTCTCCATCCGCTTCTCGATCCAAGATCCGGCGACTGTTCTCTCTTTCTTCTTCCTCTCGCCTCTCTTTGTCAAGCTCAGCTTCCATCATTCGCGGGTCCGCAAAGGCCACAGCTCGGCGTTGGCCATCGGGTTGACTGGGAACAAAGTCAGGAGCTGTCTCTCCAATGGAATCTCGGCGATCGATAATTTCTGCAACTTTAGGCGAGCCCAATCCCGGTCGGTCAGCGCCAACTCCAGAAAGACGGCGGTTCTGTGGTGTCAACACAATGCGTGGAGTGTTAAGCCCAGTAGAGGGATCCTGACGGAAGAGCTTCGATTTCAGGCTGAGTGGTGTGGTTTTCGCCATGGGCGAAGCCGCGCGTATAGGTGAACTTGATCGGCTCCCAATCATTCTAGGTGCAGGTTTTGATACCGGAGTGCCCAGCTGTGTCTCTGGAGCCTTTCCTGGCGAGGGCTGTCTTGCAAGAGGGCGCCTGTCCGGAGAGCTTCGAGTAGGCAGAATCCTAGTGGGTGAGCTCCTCAACGGCGAGCTCTGTAATGGCGAGCTTGGTGCGTCATTAGACAGCCCCGCCGCTGCCACTGAGCTCGCAGGCGACAAACTTTGACGGAGACCATTGTTCTGGAAGGCAGCAAGGCCAGGGCTTCCATTCTCATCTACAACCGCCGATCTCTGCCGCTTAGGAGAAGTTCGAATCACAGCCGTAGATGTGAGAGGACGGACATTCTCTTTAGCTGTAGGCCCCGTGATTGGTTGGCTTGTCGAGCCTTGCTGAGGAGTTGGGGCTGTTTTGATGATCCCACCCACTACCGCTGTAATGTCCATCGCTTGGGTGTCATTTGCCTCGTTTCCAGGCCTGTCCCGTAGAATTTGGCCAACACTGACAGTCATATCCATCATGGAAGCCTCGTCTTCTTCATCATTCGTTCCATTGTTCGTCGTCGGCCGAGATTCCTGAAGAGCGTTGCCGAACGAGGTCCCGCCCAACACTGCACCAATTGCCGTGGTTATCTCCATTGACATGTCCTCATTAGCATCCGTATCGAACTGGCTCACATCCGAAACCCTGCTGTGTTGGTTTCCTCGTACTGCTGTTGGAAGCTCCATGGTTCTATCACCACGCGACGTTGTTGAAACTTCAAGCGACCTGGCAGCCGGTCTAGCGGAATGCTCTTGAATGGTTGATGGTATTGGTTGTGCAATTATTCCTCCTATTGCCTTGGTAACGTCCATCGACATGTCCATGTCATCGCCATCGTCTCCCTCAGGCGATGGACTCATCCGTCGGATGATCCCACCCACGGCAGTGGTCATATCCATATCCGCATCCATATCCGTGTCCGGTACCTGATCAGCCTGTGTGGGATTGGAACGGGTGTGCTGACCACTGCCTTGGCTTGAGCTTCCCTGCGCATTGTTTTTCTTTCCCCATCCTGCGAACCCAGCAATAACCTCTTCGTCTTCATCCAGTCGTTGGGTTACAGCTCTTCGGGCCGCAAGTCGGAGATTCTCATCCAAGTCCCCGCTCGAGTCTGCGCTGAAATGCGAGCGTGGTGTTGCTATAGAGGCCGAGGTCAACTCTTCTGCTTCTACCGTCATCATAGTGCCGTCCTCAACATCTGAGTCATCGCTTGACCCGGTCATCTCCTCCGCTTGAATCTCGGCGACACTATCGGCATGCTCAAGGTCGGAATCGTACGCAATGGTGTCATCTTCGGCGTTATCGGGCGAAGGCAGTGGTTTCGAAGCTTCCAAGGTCGAAGGGGCAGGGGATGGAGCGGTGGTCGAAGATGATGCGCGGCGTGTTGTATCTGTAGACGTAGTTGAATCTTGGGGAAGTTCGATCTCATGAAAGGTGTGCAGGGTGGCTTCGGCGGCAAAGGACACTCTCCTGTTGGCCAGTGACTTTCTGCGCGCTTCCCTTCGCTCGTTGTTGTCCTTCTCAACCTGTGCCCGCTCCTTTTCCTCGCGCTCTCGGGCAGCTGCTTGCTGCTCCTCCTCAGTGCGTACGGCTACCCTGGTCCCGCCCTCGCCGCTGTCAAATGAGCTCGTCGATTGATCGGTGCCGCTGACCTGGCTTCCGGATTGTCGCGATTTAAATGTAGGGATTTCTGGGAGCGAGGTCGGCTTGAGAATGGACCTTGGGGGTGGACGTGATGGTACGGCCAGAGACTACAGTGAGATGGCTATTAAGTGTCATGTCTAACTACCTAACCAGAAAGGGTTCAGGGGTGCTGATGAACGTACGGCTCTGCGATTACCATTGCCTGACTTGAATATGTCAAGACTACCTGGCCCCATGCTCTTACTGCGCATCTTCTTGCGACCAGCGCCCATAGCGCCGATATCAACAGTTGCATTGTCCTTCTCTGCCCTTTTCTTCGTCGGTGAGCCGCCGCTTATCGATTTGCGCGGGATCCGCGTCGGGGGAAGCGTAACATCTTGTTGCGACGTCATGTCGACTTTCTGCCGTTCACGGGTTTGGCTCTTCCTCTCCCAATTCTCAATTGGAGTCTCGTATGTGATGTCCGTTTTTCATGGGCGACAGATGAAGTGGCGCACCAGCATCGACGAAGTGTGGGCAGATGATTGTATAGTTACATTGGACGTTCTTTTCCTAGGTTTGGTAGTTGGACGCGACTTGCCCCTGCTTGGCGGCGCGCATCCGCATGACATTCCACAATCTTTGGATTCAGGCTAGGTCGGGCAGGTCCTCCAGCCGCAAGGGTCCCGTCGGCGGGGCAGACTTGTTTACTTTTGCAACAGTGAACACGCGAATGGTAGGGGGGTGAAGGGCGCCGTAAACACAAATCTCAGGGCGCTGTTTCACGACCCAAACTGCCCCGGCAACTCGTAGGTACCTACTGAGTGCGGAGGGGGGGGGACTGTGGTGCGCGGTTCTGGACATGTCCCGCTATCAGCCAGTCGCAAGTGGATAGTGCGCGAGGCATGTGTGGCTAAGGCACACTTGTGGCTGGTGTGGTGCAATTGCTGGTGGTTCGAGCGCCAAGACACCCCTCAGTGGGCAGAGTTTTGCGGTGCTGGCTAAGGTGCCTGGTGGTCAAGGCGGCTCAAGTGTGGCTTTGCACCGCCGCTTCCACACTTTTTCGGATTTCAAGCCCCAAAAAATATCCCCAACTGGCAAAATTGTGAGCCCCGTGGAATTTCGACCTTCCTGCCAATCTCACCTCTCACGTACCATAGCACCATCTTGGGCATCACCCGACCGGCAAGATGGCTACCGAACTGACCGTGCAGAGCGAGCGCGCTTTCCAGAAGCAGCCTCACAGTGAGTTTTTGCACCTGGGAGGAAATGCAGGGGAAAAGATAACAATGGGGAAATTGGGCGCGCTGACAAGCTTCGATTTTCAAAGTCTTCCTCAACAGCAAGACCAAGGTCAAGTCTGCCCGTCCGGGTAAGGGTGGCCGGAGATGGTACAAGGACGTCGGCCTGGGTTTCCGTACCCCCGCTGCCGCCATTGAGGGCCAGTACATCGGTACGTTTTCATGAACACCCGTGAAACGAACGTCTATCAGATCAGCCCGACTCTTCCTCGACCGTCCGCCGGCTTTGTTGCGAAATGCGAACCGACGAGTACAGAACATGCGACAGCACGAAATATTGAAGGCGAACAACACGCAACGCGATACAACAAGAGCAAAATCACGAGCAAGCGAGCGGTGACGGCAAGGAAGGGGGGCGATTTGACGAGAGACGAAATGAGACGAGAAGGAGGAGCAAATGGCTGATATGAATTGCCTATTACTACAGACAAGAAGTGCCCCTTCACCGGCCAGGTCTCCATCCGCGGCCGTATTTTGTCCGGTACCGTCGTTTCCACCAAGATGCACCGCACCATCATCATCCGTCGCGAGTACCTCCACTTCATCCCCAAGTACAACCGTTACGAGAAGCGCCACAAGAACCTCGCCGCCCACGTCTCCCCCGCTTTCCGTGTTGAGGAGGGTGACAAGGTTACCGTTGGCCAGTGCCGTCCCCTTTCCAAGACTGTACGTCCACATCCCGATATCAACCCTCCCGAGGGGCCGAGAACGACTCCTGAAATCTGGCGCGAAACACCAAACGCGTCAGGCTATTTCGAGCGATCAACCGGCTCTCTCTCTTTTTTTTTTGTGGCGAGGCTGACACGATATGCTTACAGGTCCGCTTCAACGTTCTCCGCGTCCTTCCCCGCACCGGCAAGTCCGTCAAGAAGTTCGCCAAGTTCTAAATGCAGTCTATGAGAATGCTGAAGGGTGGGGGCTTTTCGGAATTGAGCATTTCTGGCGCGGTTCTTGCTTTGAGGGCTTGTTAAATCAGTTACAATGGGCCGGTCCGGCAGGGGAAAACTGCACGAAACAGTACACAAGTAAAAATGTGTCGTAGAGGCAGTGCCGACTGAATGAAATCCGCCGAATGAACTTTGACGAAGAGTCAAAACAAAATGGATATGATACCTTGTTTCGGTGGTTTTGGCAACACTTCATGAGCCCATACGTTGTACTTGTCACGAGCTGCTGGTTACTGATGAAGAGTTCTGATATCAAAAGAACCCATATGCCTTTCATGGATCAGAGAACGATATACGGACAATCACGATGTTCGCGTCAAGACTGTTCCAACTACGATAACGCCACGACACAACACGACATGTCACGACATTCAATGCGAAGCCCGAGATGGGGATCGATGGACGACATTGAGCAGCTGACACAAAAAGGCATACGCGCTACTTACTACCTTGTAGTCATTTAGTCGAATAGAATCATGATGAGCCAATGTGACACCTACAATACTCGTGCATTTGTGAAATAAAGTTTCAGAAGGCTATCTGAAAGTCCCCTTCCAGTACAAATTGCGATGGCAGTTACTCTTAATTCCCCGGCCACTCGCCACTCCCCTGCTCAACGTCAAACCTCTCGATCTCAGACAAGGTGTTCTTCCAATTCATTAGTAGAGAAAGGGAAACGGGAACCCAATTACAAACGAACCCATGGAATCGAAGACAGTTTGGCAGGCTTGATTTGTCTATGACTAGATGCACTTAAGTAAGTACTCTCTTCCAGAGAAAGTCTCCAGGCTTGTATTCCAGGCTGAGTGTGGCACAAGCTTTTATGCTCACGGGTATACTACACTACACGCACCGCGGACTATGGAAGTACACAAGTTCTTCTATTTAGTCTAAGAATGAACAAGGCGAACCACGGCGACAACTCTTCGTATCTATGATCCACAAACAAATAAAAAAATAAAAAGGTCGAGAAAGTTATCTGAAAGTTAACCTGTGCTTGTGATTTCTTGTAGTAATAAGATAGGTAAACTCTCTGCTTCATCGGGGTTCCATTGTTTATAGTAAAATCCACGTGAGGGAGGTGTCGCTTACTTTGTAGTCTAGTTCGCCGTCAGAACTCTCGATTATAGACAAATTCTAGACAACACAGTTTTAGACATTGGTTGAATGGGAAAAATGGTGGTACAGTACAATTCCATGCCCCGTTTTGCGTTTTCTGCACTTTTGGATGCCACTTGCTGTGTCGTACATAAAGATAAGAAAGTAGATATTATTCCCAGACGGGACCAAAGGTTTTCAATTAGAGCGAGGGGTATCAAACCCAAGTTTTCTTATCATCAATTTTACTACCTTGGGGTGCAGGCCAAAAAAAGGTACGGAAGCCTTTCCTTAACACGAGGCAAGAGTTAATTTGATGTTTGATCTATAGCACTGACTGCCATGCCATGTTTCCAAGTTTTCACACCATCAAAAAGTGGAATGCACCTTGATCGAAATGTAGTACACATCTTATACGCATACCGACGGAATCTGCGAATACAGCAAGGAAAGGGAGTGCAGTGGTACAGGGGAACCAAAATATTACAACAAAACCATCTAGACTAGAAAGTGGTGGAACCGCGATCATTGCAAGCGGTTCGATCAGTGTACACCAACCTAACTACATTAATTTGTTCTTTTCTCCTTTTCGTTGCATAGTAGGAGTATAGGATGCTCCCTACCTGTTAACTGATTCCCTACAGCACGCCTCAATCCTCCTAGCGTCCCATCAACATGAGCGGACACAAACGCACGCCGATATGATCAGTTATCCTCATCCTGAATGACCATTATTCAAAGAGTCACTAGAAAACAACCCATACTCAAGCCCACCACCTCGTCGCTTGTACCACCGTTTGAATCTTCGGGCTGAACTAGGCCGTCCCGTGCGCTACGTGGAAGGATAGCAGCAAGGCATTTCGCTCTAATGGGTCTCCTTGGGGTTGAGTTTACAGTGACGGCTTCTCAATGCTTCAAGAGCCCTGTGGGCAAATAATGTGCGCTGGACGGTTTGACTAGCGCTACCCTTACCTTCCCGCGGTGAGCAACAAATCTTCCTTAGCAGAAGTCCAGTGATGAACTCTCTCAGAATGGGCTGGGCCAGACTTTACTGTGGCGTTCCATCAACTCGTCAACGGTTTTGTGGGGTAAAAAGGAACTTTGGATATTTTTGAAGCTACGCCCTTCAGACTAAGTGGTGAGCAAAGTCGTGTCTTGCCAGCTAGTCCACAAGCAGTGTGATACAAGTGCATTCGTTCTCGTACCGATCTATAGGTTCTGGAGGGAAACAAATCTATTCGTATCTCTGCATAGCCGCGTCCTCGGAGTGGGCTTTAATGAGGGCTTTATCGTCCTCCTCGGTTCCATGAGTCCATGGACCTCCACGCTTGTCTACCAGGCTTTGATTTCGTCCCTCCAGGTCTTGCTGTGTTTGTTGCGCTGATTGCAAGGAAGCGTTGGTACCAGTATCCGCCTAGACAGGTGGAGTGTTCCCGGCGCTACCAAGCCCAGCTCCGGGAGAGGACTGGTCAGCACCGGCACTATGGCTGACGCCGTGGAAGGCATCCCCAAACGCAGAGTCCTCCATATCCATGTTCAGATCTCCCAAATCATCGCCACCTGGCCCAACGCTAGGCGGGTCGTAGCCAGCGAGGGCCTCGCCGGCGGTATCGAGATCGCCTAGTGAGCTGAAGTCAATACCTTCGCCTGATGGGGTGGGCGCCACTGATGCGGGTTTACTCGGAGGTTGGGTAACCTGTTGAGCAGGAACGCCAACAGCATCACTGTGGCCAGCCGTCGTTGGCGGTTGGGGGATAGAGGCAGTTGTGGCACCCGAAGGGTTAGAAGCAGCGGGCACTTGATCGGGCGCAGATGTTGCAACCTTCGCTGAGGCTTCTGCGTCAGCGTCCTCCATACTAATGTCATCCCCACCCTGATTAGTTGCAGGTGGTAGAGGTGAGGCCACGTTGGGGGCTGAAGGAGTGGCAGCACTCGAAGGGTTCGCCGAAAGATTCAGAGCTTGAGGGGTTGATGCTGTCGAGAAACCGCCGGCAGTATTCATTTGGTCAAGCAGGCCGGCCGCGGTACCTCCCATATCAATGTCGGAATCACCAATGATTGCACCGCTAGCTTGAGAGCCGGCTTGCGATGGCTGGCGAGACATGGGAGGGGCCTGTCCTACCGGTGGAAGGCTGGGTTCTGGCTCAGGAGCTGACTCTTGGTAGCCACCATCCTCAACTCGATGAACATCATGGACAACCGTGGCAGGCTTTCCCACAATCTTTTCAACGCTGGCAAGAATCTCTTCCAATGCTTTGGCGTTCCTTTGACCCTGCGGGCTACTGCCATCCTCGTCATCTTCGAGACGTCCCTCAAGGCGCCAGGCTTCCGAACCAGTTTCTTGAACCGCGAAACGCAAATCTTGTTCTGCTTGCATGATAGCCGAATGCTTTCTCAGGCTCGCTAGAGCCTTCTCGTGGTCGGCCTTCATCCGCGCAATCTCTTCCATGTCGGCCTTGTTTTTCTCCAATACACGCTTGCGAAATTCGTCTGCCACCCCTGGGGCCAAGTGTCCCGTATAAGGCTTTTTAGGCCCATGATCTACCGCCTCGGTACTCTGTGCCTCAAAAATACCCTCTGTAAGCGAGGCGAGCGCGCCTTTGCGTCCCAGTCCCAGGTCGGAAACTTCTATCTGGCCAATTTGATAGGGAGAAGACAAGATTTCCTCCATCCATTCGTGATTTTGTTGATACCGAGCGATGCTCACCTCGCGTAGCGTAAGGTGGTCGAAAAGGTCACCACGGGACACATCCTCCTCGTCATCAAAAGCACCTTCCAAGCTTTGCAGCTGGCCTCCTGCCATCTGGCTCGGATGTGCTCCTGGTGGCTGTCCATGCCCACCCCTGCGCTTGGATGAGCCGGCCACTGCACCCGGATGCGGAGGGTAAGCCATTGTCGGAGGAATGTGGCGAGGCGGCATGGGCGGAGCGTACATCGACTGACCCCGTCCTGGAAGGGGAAGTTGTGGCCAGTTCACACGATCCGATAGCATAAACTCCTTCTTGACGATCTGGCCCATTTGGAAAAGTTGCTGGCGATAGTTGATGACCTGTTGCATCTGGGGGCTGACGGAAACCATTTGTACGTGGATCCTATCCTGTTTGTCGGCAGGTCCATAATGCACAATCCAGAGATTAGGGTCCACCTGTGGTGCATTTGGCACTGGCGCTGGGCCGGGAACGAGGCGAAACCGTTTTCGAGAGTGTATCGTGTGCTGCTCCCCTGGTCTGAATCCCGATCGTTGGATGTAAGCCTCGAGCACCTATTCGCCAAAGTTAATTCTCACGCCCAGGAACGCCGCAAGCCCAGAAAGAGTGTCATACCAAACCGTTCCCGGCAGGCTGATGGTAAAAGATCTCGGGACCCGACCAGATATATCCATCGCTGGAGAACTCAACGCCTCTACGGGCTGAAGGTTGCCATGTCAGGTATATGGACCCATCGTTGGGGCAGTCGAGGTATGTCCAGAAGAATGGAGCCGTGTCACGGGCGATTTTGGGTGCGGCCGTCAACCACTTTGTGACCTCTGGTAGTTCGACCCTAGGCTGAAACGCATAACGGAAGGTTGAAAGGAGGTGCACATGAGGAAGCTATCGGAAAAGTTTGGGTTAGTCGTCTGTAAAGGCATACCAGTCGGCAAAACGATGCATAATGCAGAGCTATGCTGTCAAGGAACATCATACCAAGTCCTGGTGCACGTTTTGGCTCGGATCGCCAGCCATTGTGCTTTGGTCGAGGTTGAAATGTGAGGTTTGTTGGAAAGAGGAGATATTGTGAAGTGAGGATTATTCCTGTGTGAACATGTCAATCCGGGGAGCTAGTAGTAAAGCTAATATTATCTTCTGGCGTTGTCAATGGCGGATGTACTCGTGGATGATGATTGGAAAACGAGGTGCCTTGTCCCGTCGCGTTTGAGGTGGATTTCCGGGGCGTTGCGCGCTTCGTGGATTGACAAGGGAACTTTCCGTCCAGGAACCAAGCTACGCAGGCGGGCAAGTTCCAGCCAGTGACAGCGGCAGGCAATAGAGCCGCTTGGCGGCGGCAGCCCCACAACAGTACAGTTACACGTGACTACCTCCTGGCTCAACCTAGCCAACTCTATTCAAATGCTCACGGGTGACTTGCATCTTGACAAAACCATTGTAATAATGTTTGTCATGATTGAAATAACCGCTGCTGGCCTAATGTCGACTCGAGCCTCTCAGTGGCCCCGTTTCAGCCTGGTTACAAAATCGCTGCATACACCATCATTCGACAGGATGGAACGTGGAAAGGTACGGAGAGGACATCTCATAGATAGCGAGGAACCACATTCCCTAGTCTGAACCAACGGTTTGTCGCTGTATTCCAATGCTCAGTGTCCGTCTCAGCGGTCTCGTTCTTCACTACTCCTGAGCCGCCGGCAGTAGCTAGTCTTCCGTCCCTGCACGATCGGACGGGCATGGATCGCAGGTATTCTTCACTGGTTTCAATGCGGTACAGCATCATAGTTCTTGTTCACTGCGAGTGGGAGAAAAAAATTTCGAATTCCAGTTCATGCTAAAGTACCACTTTTTAATTCCAGTTCATACCATAAATCGGCATCTTGGCTGATGCATCTTACGTGTTTACCCTTTCGTTAGTTGCCAAAACACTGAAGCAACCGTTTCCCAATGTCTAGATCGTCTCCTGACCAACATATCATATCCATTCCATACCGTACTCTCTTTACGCCTGGTAGGTGGAAGCGGAAACGTTGCCGCCGCGGCCAGTCCAGTTGACGTGGATGTACTTGCCCTCGGGGTACTTCTCGTTGGCGTACTCGGGCTTGACCAAGAAGGTGTGGGCGCCGAAGTAGTCGCGCTGAGCCTGGAGCAGGTTCGCGGGGAGGTCCTTGGTGCGGTAGCCATCGAACCACGACAGAGCAGTGGAGAAAGCGGGAGTGGGAAGACCAAGGAGAGCAGCCTTGGCAACGACATCACGCCAGCCGGGCTGGGCCTTGTGGATGGCCTTGTTGAAGAAGTCGTCGAACAAAAGGTTCTCGAGGTCGGGGTTCTTGCGGTAAGCAGCGGTGATGTCCTTCAGGAAGACGGAGCGGATAATGCAACCACCGCGCCACATGAGGGCAATGGAAGGCTTGTTGAGCTTCCAGTTGTACTCCTTAGCAGCCTGTGATCAAAATAGCGTTAGCAATCGCACCTCGGTGATAGTCTGTTCTGCGCATCCACATACCTCCTGCATGAGCATGAAGCCCTGGGCATAAGAGATGATCTTGGAAGCATAGAGAGCCTGCTCGAGGTCCTCCAAGAACTGCTCCTTATCACCCTCGAACTTGTTGGCACGGCCAACGAACTCGAGCTTAGTGGAGGCCTTGACACGCTCCTCCTTGATGCCAGACAGGCAGCGAGCAAGGACAGCCTCGGCAATGAGGGTGACAGGCATGCCCAGGTCAAGGGCGTTGACAGCAGTCCACTTGCCAGTACCCTTCTGGCCAGCCTTGTCGAGAATCTTCTCGACGAGAGGAGTGCCATCATCGTCGGTGAAGTACATGATATCCCTGGTGATCTCAATCAGGAACGAGTCGAGAACGCCCTTGTTCCACTTGGCAAACACATCACCCATCTCCTTGTGGGAGAGGCCGAGACCGCGCTTCATAATGTCGTAGGCCTGTACCAAGTCATCAGTTAAACGGTGTCCTCATTCGCCTCAAAAACCACGTATGGCAGAGTGCATTGGGGCTACTGACCTCGCAGATGAGCTGCATGTCACCGTACTCAATGCCGTTGTGGACCATCTTGACGTAGTGGCCAGCACCCTCGTCACCGACCCACTCGCAGCAGGCCTCGCCATCGCTCTTGGCAGCAATGGACTGGAAGATGTCCTTGATGTGAGGCCAGGCAGCCTCGTCACCACCGGGCATCAGCGAAGGGCCGTAGCGGGCACCCTCCTCACCACCAGAGACACCGGAACCAACGAAGTGGAGGCCCTTGGAGGCAAGGTACTTTGTCCTGCGGTTGCTGTCGGGGAAGTGAGAGTTACCGCCATCAATGATGATGTCGCCCTTCTCGAGGAGGGGGAGGAGAGTCTCGATCCAGTCATCGACGGGCTTGCCGGCCTGGACGAGGAGCATGATGCGGCGGGGGGACTTGAGCTTGGAGACGAACTCCTCGGTGGACTTGGCACCAACGATCGACTTGCCCTTGGCCTCGTTGGCAAGGAAATGGTCGACCTTGGAAACGGTACGGTTGAAGGCGCAGACGGTGAAGCCATGGTCGGCCATGTTGAGGATCAAGTTCTGACCCCTATTACACACCACGTTAGCGAGGCCCCGTGCGGCACGGTTGAGGGGGATGCTCGAAGAGCATTAACTTACATGACGGCCAGGCCGATGAGGCCGATATCAGCGCTTGGGGCATCGTTAGCACTTGTCTGACTTTGAGATTGGGACTGGGAGCCCGGCTTCACAGCTCCGCCAACAATGATGTTCGCTAGGCGAGCGCTGGAGGCACTCAGTTGGTATGCAGGGCAAACAGGACAAGCAAGCTCTTTCCGTCACACATCACGGCGAGAGGACTATCGCTTCTTTGAAAGAGGTCCCTCGTCGACACACAGTCACATCCTGACCGCCAGCAGAATGCGCGCCGTGGCAAGATCGAGAGCTTCCAACAGAGAACGTTCACAGGCGGGTAGAGCGGGGGAGGCGGGGTAGTGAAAAGGACTTACACAGGTCCAGACATCTTGTAGGCTTTTGTAGGGTATCTTGGTTTACGATTTCTCAAGCGTTTGGTTGTTTGGAAGAACAAGAAGCAAAAGGCAAGATAAATAAGTTGGAAAAGATGAGATTACTCAACGAAGAGGGATTTCCAATTGGAGGGGGGGGGGGGAGGGAGGGGGTCAAATAAAGAATGTACCTGCGAGCTGAGGTAATGACGAAACTTTGGAGAGGGATCCTGGAGCCTTCGACTTCGGAGGGGTCAATGGGCAGTCAATCAGCGTGGCAGTGGGCAAGCCAAAATGTAACAAGTGGAAACACTTCCAAAATCCGAACAGGCCCTGCATCATCTTGGCCTGTACCTTTCGGTAGAATATCCCTAGTTGCAGACCGGCGATAGCACACGAGTTCCACTCTTGTCGTCCGCTCTGGACATCTCACTTTTTGACATTTGCACCCACGGGAGACAACAGCCAGTCGCGATCGCCGTTGCCTCGCTGCATCATTCAGTCGATGTTATGGAAAGTCGAGTGGGCAAGTGTTCGCCCTCTCCCATCTTTTGTCCCGAGGACATGGAATGGGGTATTCATCCTTCCAAACTTGATCTCCGTACGGTGCGATGACAGCTGCAGAATGGATAGCCCGGCATTTTCTTCCGTGGACCTGGAAGAAATTATTCCGCCGTCCTGCCTCAGAAAACCCCCGCGGCGGGATCGGAAGGCTCCATGTCCCATTTGTTGGTCTGGATCAGCCATGGTGCGAAACGATCCACTCATTCACCACTTCGTTGAGGTCAACCATTCCAACCTAGAGAGCTTGGCTTTTGATGCCAATGTGCACCGAGCCGGTACGAGAGGCAAACCCGGCAAGGTATATATCTCAGCACCATACATCTCTACCCAAAATAACGGTCAAGAATGTTAAGCAAGCTGGTTATCGGGGATGCTCATGGAGGTCATTGGACTCTCGTTTACTATGTACAGCAGGGCCGATAGGCATATCCGTCGAGCACTCACAAAGTCGACTGAAGTAGCACAAGGATGGCAGCTTTGTCTTTATATTTGTAAGTTTGTTCACCCCCAGCCACCCCTGCCAACGCGTGTTTTTAGTCTGTTGCGGTTTCGCAATCCTGTCCTTCCTTCATGCTCCTCCAAACCTATGACGGACCAAACGGAAACGGTTAGGTTCATCGCCCGCGACCCCTAGTTTGGTCTTTGCGTGCCATTCAAGCTCCCAGCCGTCCCAACACCAATTACGATGATCGTGAAGCATTGCTTTGTGGCTGTCAAGACAAATGCCCCTTTATGGCAAACAGTCTCGGATGACCCAGATGCTTACTGGTCACCTTGCATATTCGGTAAGCTTCACTATAAAGATTTGCGATCATGTACAGTAGCTAGTATTTCTTTCCGCAGCCTCTGGGAACTTTTCGTCCATTCCGCTTGGCTCCTCATTCTACCAGTGTCCCGATGCTCACCCATTAATATCTGGTCATAAGCATCGATAGTAAGCAACTCCGGATGAGCCGGCATGGTTTTAGCCACCAACTGCCGAGCGCCACGGAATGGAAGCCGCTATTGTCATAGCATCATGAGTTGGCCTGGTATTCCAATATGCTTGTTCATGGGACCCGAGGAATTTATACGCAGAATGTGACAGCGAGAAGAGCATAGGGACCTGTGTATTCAGGAATAGCCTGACAACCAATATAAAAAAGGCCCAACTTCTCCTTGTACCTATCAACTGTCCACATCTCCATTGTTTCGTTCTGCTGACCCCCATCCCCCACACGATCATCTGATTCCCGTGCTGCCAAAACATATGCAAGCTTACCCAACTTCATCATCGCTTTGCTGCGGAGTCATCGCTATTTGGACACTAACAGACAAACCACAGATAGAAGTTTAGCCTGCGGTACAGAGCTTGCTATCTTGCGCCAGAAATATAAGACCTCTCGGGAAGTTTCTGCTCGCGCCTTATCCAGAACTTGATATTAGTACCTCTAGTTCTTCATCTCACCAGTACCGGGCCCCCAAATAGGTCATGAAGCTTGGAAGTCGGGGCCAGGAGTGAGAAGAAAAAGTCCGGACGAGGGGTAAGAATGAGGTGCAGCTCCCCACGGGCCCCTCCATTGATTTCACATGGTAACTTTCACCTGACCATGATGATAACTCATAAAATACATCGGCTACAGTTACTTCGGGAATCCTTCCAATCAAGAATTTCCAAGAAATCAGATTCATAGGTATATTAAGACGCTTGAATACTGGATGAAAGCATACATTAGGTCAGTAATGTGCTGGCCGTCACCTGTCATTCAGCTGCCTTACTGGCACCTCGACATAGGAATTGTTAACTACGATAGTTAGCAAACGTTGCAGTACGATACATGCAGATGAAATTCCCGTCATAACTATACCCAACCCTGAAAACTGGTGGGGGCGTGGGGGTCAACCTCGTGGATGTTTTTGCGTCTACTGCATACCCGGACTTGTAGTCAGCTCAAAATACGTATCCACCACAACGGGTGTGATTAACCGTTGCGAGGATGGTGATTGATTTTGTTCTTCGCAACTGAACTCGTGAATTGCTTCGTGGTTTTCGTTGCCACCCACCCATCTTTCTTTCATCGTCATCCGCAAGGAGTTTGGAGGGAGAGCACCGCCACATGTAATTGATTGATTACGTATCGATACTGGAGAATCCGACCTTGGCTTGTGGCTGATCGGCCCGAAAAGCACTGCACTGCGGCACCTGTGATGGACCAGTGGTCACACCAGTCCGGCCGGGGTGTGACGGATTGGAAATTCAAGTTGGAGAAGTTGCCAAGCCAAAGGTTCACCGTTCACCTCGGATTGGCGACCGGTCTCCAGTCCACCGCGACTCCAGCTGGTTCAGTCAGTTTCGGCCGGACTCCACAAATGGAATTTAGCCGTCCCGTCCATGGCCTCGCTGTAGTCTGCACTGACAATCAACTTCTCCATCAACCACCGACGTCCGTGCCTGATTAGGTCAATTCGCGATCCCGACTAACAAAACCACAACCCATAGTATCTCTACAATCTCTTGCCTGCAACTCTCGTGAGCCAACTGTTGACCGGACAAGCCCGACAGTACCTAATCACAGGAGGATACCTACCACAAAGCGCAAAACACTGCCGGGCTGGGCTCACAGGTACGTGAAACAAGCACCACAAACAGACTTGAACCAAGTTGTGTCTCTCTTTCTTGTCGGCGCGAGAAATTCATCATGTCGTACCCCGGTCCTCCAGGTGTCTCCAAAAGCACGACCCATCCGTCGCTGCCTCCCCGACCGCCACCAGCAAAGCAGCCCGGCGGCTTCAAGCCTGCCTTCCAACCCGCGATCCATTCTGCGCGGTCCTTCAGCGCCGCCCCATCTCCATCTCCAGCTCCAGGCTATCCCGCAACCCCAACAACCGCGGCAGCAACCTCGTCGTATACGGCGGCTCCCGGCTATGGCCCGACTGTTGGCGCCGCCGCGCCCGGCAGCTATGGCGCGCCCACCCCATACGGCGCTCATCAACCAGCCGTTCCCGGCGTAGGAGGTGGCCGTGGCGGCTATGGCCAAGCAAACACGACATACAGCAGTTACCCCCAAGCAGCAGGCTATCAACAACAAGCCGCATACGGATACGGCACACCCGGCACCGGCAGCTATTCCACCCCGCCCCAGATCCGCAACCCCTTTCCCGTTCCGAACGCCGCCCCGACCGCCGGCCACCATGGTCATCACCATGACGCCAATTACGACCCCGTCGAGGCGGCGCAGATAGCGGCGTGGCAGAGCGCGTACATGCCTAAAGACCCCAACGACCCCAACAATGCCGTCAACAAGGTTGGCGGTGCCGGCAACGTTCCCGGTACGCGCGCTGCAGCCGGTGCCTACGGTGCAGGCGCCGCTCAATACGGAGCCGCTTACGGCGCAGCGATGGATCCCGCGGCCGCCGCGGCCGCCGCCGCAGCAGGAGCAGCAGGAACATCAACCGACCCCTACGCAGCCCACAACGGCAGCGGCGCGACGGGTGCCGACGGCGAGAAGAAGAAGACAGTAGTGCGCGAAGGCGGCGGCAAGAAGTGGACAGACGACACCTTGCTTGAATGGGACCCCTCGCACCTGCGTCTTTTTGTGGGCAACCTAGCAGGCGAGACAACAGATGAGTCGCTCCTCAAGGCCTTTTCACGCTGGAAGAGCGTGCAAAAAGCGAAAGTGGTGCGCGACAAGCGGACGACCAAGAGCAAAGGGTTCGGGTTTGTCAGCTTTAGCGACCCCGAGGACTTCTTTCAGGCGGCGAAGGAGATGAATGGCAAGTATATCCAGAGTCATCCGGTGGTGGTGCACAAGGCCAAGACGGAGATCAAGCCGACGGTGCTGAAGGACGATCGAAAGGGCGGCAAATGGAAGGATAAGAAGAACACTCAGAATAAGGAGAAGAAGAGCCGTAGTGGGATGGGCGCCGGTGTGGGTCATGATGGAGGCGGCAGTAGTGGTGGTGCGGGCGGCGGGTATGAGCCGCATCTTGGACCTGCGCATGGCAGTGGAGTGACCAAGCCTGGTCAGAAGACTAAAGGCGGATTAAAGTTGCTTGGCTGATCGTGTCTTGGCCGGGTTCACTTTCTCGTGCTTCACCTTAGGGCATTAAGGACCATTGCGTATTGAGATACTTGTGCATTCAAAAGAACTATAGGGGCGTTATGGATGTCTGGGTTTAGGAAGCGATCGTTTGGAGACGGTATGTTGATATCCCGGCTTTCGTCTGGTGTATTCCCCGAATTAGAAAACACTAGTGTCAACAAGTGGTTCCAATGTATGTCAGATGTAACGTGTGCGAATATTTGCGTTATCAGCCTTGTAGTATATCACCAATGCCTGTTTCTACGGTTTCACGCATTTGATTTCCTTTTTTTATTTTGCAAGCATCACCGAATCCTCACTCACAACAAGGCCAAACGTGAATGATCTAACTAGAGCAGTAAAACCCACCTTCAGCCAGTAGAGATCGAGATGATCTCGACACCTTCCCCAAACAATCAGCGAGTGCCTTGAATCAGTCACATCAAATGCTCACTAGTAGCACATCATCGCTCCTTTCAGATTCAGAACAGACAAACCATCCATATCATCACCATCATCACCATCATCATCATCATCATCACGTAAGACACAACCCCCCCCCCCTCCCTTCTGCTCTTAATGGTTGAACTCGCATACACGATCGAGGTTAAAAGCGGCGCTGATGAGCGCCAAGTGGCTGAAAGCCTGCGGCGTGTTGCCCAGCTGCTCGCCGCTGCGCGAGATCTCCTCGGAGAACATCATCAGGTGGTTCGAGAAGCTGAGCATGTTCTCAAACAGGTTGATGGCCCGCACCATGTACTTGGGCTCGTAGACGCTGGCGCGCGTCAGGGCTTCGACGAGCCAGAAGGTGCACATGGAGAAGGCACCTTCGCGGCCTCCAACGCCTGTTCGAATTGGTGTGGTGTGTCAGCTGTAGCTTTAGAAAATAAAATAGGAGAGAGGATTGTTGATCATTTAGTGTGACATGGGGTGGGTTTGTGATTATGGCTTGGGAAGGGAAGGGTGGAAGGCAAAAGGGAAAAAAAAAGGAGTCTTTTTTGAAGTGGCCGAGGCTGATTGATGACTTACCATCTTCTGATTGCTCGGTGTCATAACGGTATACCAGGCCGGTGCTGGTCAACCCACCCTTTTCAGGGGGCAGCATAATACGGTCCATGGTGTTCAAGAATCGGGGGTCGTTGGGCGCGATAAAGAACACGAGCGGCGCGATGAGGATGGATGAGTCCAGGATCGTCTGATTCTCGTAGCTTTGCACAAAGCACTTCATCTCCTTGTTGTACGACTTCTCCATGATCTCCTCGTACAATGAATCCCTAGCCACGAGCCACTTGGCCCGGTTAGGGCACGGGAAATTTCTCTTCTCAGCCAGACGCAAGCCGCGGTCAAAGGCGACCCACAGCATGATCTTGGAGTAAGTAAAGTGCTGTTTGTTATTGCGCACCTCCCAGATGGACATGTCGGGGTGGTCGAGGATGGTGAGCACGTAGTTGAGCATCTCGCGGATCGAGCACCACAGGTCCCAGTGGATCGGCTTGCCGTACTTGTTGTACAGGTAAATGCCATCCATGAGCTCGCCGTAGATGTCGAACTGCTGGTGGAAGGCCGCCCCGTTGCCCACCCGCACCGGCTTGCTGCCCCGGTACCCGTCCAGATGCGTCAGCTCCCGCTCGGGAATGTCCGTCTCGCCCCGGATCGTGAACATGATGGGTAATCCGCCGTTGGCGAAGCGCGAACGACAGAACTGGTCGCTGATGAACTTCATGTACGCATCGGCCTCCTCGGTGAAGCCGAGCCGGAGGAGGATGTAGATGGTGAAGGAGGCGTCGCGGACCCATGAGAACCGGTAGTCCCAGTTGCTGTGGATGGGGTGCTTGATGTCAGAAGAAGGGTACGTTCGAGTGTTTCACGTGCGGGTAGGAAATGGCAATAAATATTCGAGGATAGAGGGAGGATAAGGGTTTGACTTACCGGACACCGCCAATATCTTCGGGAATGGAGAATGTTGGAGCAGCGATGATGGCTCCAGTCGGTTCGTATGTCATGAGCTTCAGAATCATGAAGCTCCTTTGAACAACCTCGCGCCAACGGCCCTTGTACTTGCACTTTGAGATCCAGTTGTACCAGTAGGTCTGGGTACCATGCTGCTGAGTGTCCAGAACCATGTTTGTGATCTGCTCCGTGACGTGATTGGGGATGTCGTTGCGAAGAATGAACGAGACGGCTTGGCCTTCCAATAGGTCGATGCTGGCAACAACACCTTCACCAAGCATGCCGGGCTTCATTACTTTCTTGAAGCGGACGGTTGGATAGCTATGATACTCTTCCTCTCCTCTATCAATGCTGACATCAAGCTGGAGCTTGACGTTCTTGCTGTGAAACGTCACAGTCTTGCTCTCGGTAGCAAAGGGTATGTTTTCTTCCTGTAGAATCGTGGTGGTATGCGGCTCTGTGGCATACTCGAACGCAGGGAAGATTTCGACGTCTAATGTCATGTAAGTCATAAGATCTGTGTGGGCAAAACACGGAAAAGCAAGGATTTACCCAAAGAGAACTTTCCACGGATACATTCGACACGGCGGACCAGCCATTGCTTCAGCTCCTCCTGGACGCTTGTCATCTCACGGTAGGCACTCGCCTTCAGTCCTTTGATGACAGTCTGGGTTTTCATGGGCCTGGGGAAGAAATCGACAAGATCAACGACACCATCCTCATGGATGTACCTGGTTTGAAGGATGTTCGAAGAAGGCAGGTATTGCTGCTTGGTTGTGCATCCGAGATGGGCAGAAGGATGTATGATGAAGTAGCCTCCTTTGTCCTTATCCAGCAAACGGCAGAAGACGGAAGGTGAATCAAATTCAGGCCTTGAAGACGTTAGTAGAGACATGGCTATGAGGCAAGGCTGTGAGAGTTACCAGCACATAAAGTCCACACTGCCGTCCATGCCCACGAGGGCGCATGTTCTCATGTTGCCAATCAGGCCATAGCTCTCGATAGGAAGATAACCTCCGCAGCGTCTCCTCATTTGAGCTTCGGCGCTCTGTGTTGCTCCTGCGGTTGACATGATGGAAGAGAAGCCGCCTTGGCTGAAGCTCTTTTCTGTATCTTGTGCGTAGTGGTGCTCGAATAGAGCGCTCGGTTTCAGTTGTGAACTGAAGCTCGGGTGTTTGATGAAGACTGCAATACGGGAATTTGTCACCCTGGAGATGTTGAGATGGCAATGAAAAAGGAAGGAACAAAGGGCCTTACGGCTTGAGTCCGCAAGTTATCCAGATTCGACTCTGCTTTGAAAGAGAGCAAAGCAGGAAGATACAGTACAAGGTACGGTTGTCTTTATGATGACCCAGTAGTAAACGGGAAAGGTGAGAAGCATCGATGTGGTAGAAAAGATATTTTATGTTTTATCTCACCATAGAAGCTCTTCGTCTGAAGACGACGAGGTTGTGCGCCCCGATCCATGACAGCTCGTGCGTAGGACCAGCATCATTCCTGACTCAGCATCGTCTTCCAAGTTCCCCAGGTTACCACCGCGTGTCTTTGCCTCTTTTGAGACCTTTGTCGACGGTATTGCTCTGCGGCTCCTCACAAGGTTGGGTGATCACAGTAAAGATCGATTTGCAGGGAGCGCGGGAACGGTGTTCCAGTTCCATGGAGTTTTACATCCCCGGATGTGTATTTCTCAGGAGCTCCGTCACTGACCAGCTCAGCTCTGTTGTTAGCTTTCTGTCAACGTTCTTAAAAAACCTTTCCTCGAGATGATCATCTCCATGACAGAAGTTTGCGGGCTCTTTTGTGAAGGTTCGTTCCTGACGGTCGTGTACTTAGAGTGTACACTACCAGCCACTTGACGGTTTTCCTCTGTAGGGAATGTCAACTACATCATACCTGGACTTGAATCTCGAGAGACCGGGGTTGGTAGCTTGACGGTCCAAGTGGGGAATCCCGGCGCACCGGCGCACCAGGCCACAACCAATACCGTCACACCAAGAATCACTTACACGGGCGTCAAGTCAATATCAGTGACTACATTTGAGTATTGTGTCTTCGATAAAGGATTTTTTTGATGACGGTTGCTCTTTTGTCTGGAATCTTAAACAGCATTTATTTCGCTGTCCTCATGAATGCTCGGCTCGCTAATCCAGTCAACCGAGCCATCTGAGGCAGGCCAATTTGTTATTTTGTAGGGAGATACCCAAACCCCGCCTCCGGGAAGAATCTCCCTGAGTAAAAGTGGGTTTCTAAGCGTAATAATCGACACCTCCCCAAGCTCTTGGTGCTTGGCGTAGAGGTATGTCTCGGTTCACGGAAGGCCGATTCTCACGGTAGGTAGGAATTTCACTCGAGCCATAGTGACACAGCGCGGCGATCTCACCTGCATTCGAAACCAGAAGTGGAGGGTCGAGACTCGACAAGCACGACTGGGCGGTGAGAGGTCCATTGATCTTGGAGACGCACAAGCCATCACTACTAGGGGCCTACACTACATTACAGCCAAGGCGCTAGTAGCGCTACAGGAAACTACGGTTATAAGATGATCAAAATCGCTATTTCCCGTACACGCTGCCACCTACCACCTTAGGCATGAAGGCTTCAGTTTGCCACCCCCAGAGATCGCCCAATTCACGAGGTAACTGCGGACATTTACAGACGTGTGATGCTTGTGTTCCATGTGTTTACACTACCGTCGGGCACTCAAAGAGGGAAAGCTATTTGCCAGTTGACCGAGTTCCACGGTATCTAGTTCAACCCTGGGTTGCTTATTAGTGTGGTTCCTGCGACACAGCTAGTTGCGAAGAGTGCGTAGTGAAGTCCCGCACTAACAAACAAACAAATAAAACCAGGGTTGACGTTATGCGGGAGTGTAGTGTACACCACACGACCACCTCATGACGCTGCTGCAGGGGCGTTCGGCAGCTGACTGAAATCAGAATTCGAAGTGGAATGGAAACTGGATTTCACCACCCAAGAGGTAAACTTTTACCTAAAGGGTCTTGGCGCTCTTCGATACCCTTTTTTCTATCGTATGAAACTGGGGTGCAAAGCCAATGACTGCCGCGATCTCCCACCACTCCACCGCTCATCTGGCCTCGCCAAGTCGCCAACTCTCGAGCGTCGCAAATCTCAGCCCATCTCGATATGCTTCAGAGGCTAGCACGGCTAGCAAGGGACCGCTCCAACTTCTCAAACGTCTAGTCGCACCGTGTACCTAGAGCCAATTGAAATCCCCTGCCCCTAATAATGCATCTCCGTCCATCTCGTTGAAATATCATGTCTCCTCCCACCCAAGAAGGAACATCACCGACGACGCTCTCCGTGCTCTCCCTCGACGCAACCTCTGCCTCATCCCCATCACCAACCGGCGATAACACCCCACACGCCCTCCCAGGAACATCCTCAGCCTTCACAAGCGGCATCGGCACCGCGGGCGCAAGTGGACACGCGACACCCACACGACGCACAGGTACAGGGTCCTACAATCTCGACATCAGCGGAGACGAAGACCCACACGTTACCGTTGACACCGTTTCCGTCCCTGCGGTCCTGAGTACCACTCCATCTGCAACCTCGACCCTGAAAAGTAAACAACACTTTGATCTAGCGATATGTGCGGACGACGAAGCTGTTAAACACACAGACGCAACACCATATCTCAACTCGGACTCTTTCGAAATCGAAATGGCTCCCATCAGTGGAGTAGGGGGCGGCCACCGACGCCGGAGAAGCAGTCTTATGAATCCCGTTGGCGCATCCAGCAGCAGCAGACACCGATCGCCGAGGCCACGATCATCAGCAGGAAAGGGAATCGATTTCGACGAGTCCAAGTTGGTTGGGGACGATACAAGGGTACAGGAAGTTGCGGGACGCTATGACGGACCTAGCGATGACGACTTATCGGACGAGGACCTCCATATCGACGAAGAGGCCGGCTTGACAGGTGCGGACAAACGGAGGAAGAGCCGCAAGAGAAGTCGCAACACCCGGCTTGACCAGAGGATAGCGAGGGACAGGATCTCGGAAGCAGAAAAGCTAGAGGCGGACAGGGCGGTGCTCAAGAATGCTGTCATTAACGTGACACTGATTCTCCTCTGGTACTTCTTCTCATTAAGCATATCCTTGGTAGGCAAACACACACCCTTTCTACTTGTTGTGAACCGACAGATGGCTAACTTTGCTTTCTACCATCACCAGTATAACAAATGGATGTTTGACCCAAAGAAGCTCAATTTCCGATTCCCGTTATTTACCACCGCTACACACATGCTCGTGCAGTTCTCCTTGGCATCCATTGTCTTGTTCTTCTTTCCCTCGCTACGACCAACAAATGGGCACAAGTCGGATCTGGGCCAGTCGAGGCATGAACCGGAACGGCCTGTCATGACCAAGTGGTTCTACCTCACCAGGATCGGTCCCTGCGGATTGGCGACCGGCCTCGATATCGGGCTGGGCAATGCTTCGTTACAATTCATTACTCTCACCTTCTACAGTAAGTTGCTCTGCCGACGACCTTGTAACACTACCTCGTGTTACAGCAGTATCCGTTGCTAACCATTCTCTCAGCCATGTGTAAATCCTCCTCGCTAGCCTTTGTCCTCCTCTTCGCCTTTCTCTTCCGACTTGAATCACCCACATGGCGGCTAGTAGCCATCATCGCAACCATGACCTTCGGCGTCGTGATGATGGTCGCCGGCGAGGTTGAGTTCAAGCTAGGCGGCTTCCTCCTCGTCATCTCAGCGTCGTTCTTCTCTGGCTTCCGCTGGGGTCTGACCCAGATCCTGCTTCTCCGCAACCCGGCCACGTCCAACCCATTCTCCAGCATCTTTTTCCTCGCCCCCGTCATGTTCCTCAGCCTGATGTCCATCGCCATTCCCATCGAAGGATTTTCGGCTTTATTTGCCGGCCTGAAGATCATCGCCGAGGAACACGGCATGCTCATGGCGCCCTTGCTCATCGTCTTCCCCGGAACCATCGCCTTCCTGATGACCGCATCCGAGTTCGCTCTGCTGAAGCGTACCTCGGTCGTCACCCTGTCCATTGCCGGAATCTTCAAGGAGGCAGTCACCATCTCAGCCGCGGCCATTGTCTTTGGCGACACCATGACGGTCATCAACGTCATGGGCTTGCTCGTCACTTTGGCCGCCATAGCCATGTACAACTACCTAAAGATCTCCAAGATGCGTCAGGATGCGCAGAACAACGTCCACAGGGCTCACATGGTCGGCGGTGACAGTGGCAGCGGGTCTTCGTCTTCTGCTTCTACCAGCCGCAGTGGAAGCAGGAGTGGAAGCGGAGGCAGCAGCAGTGAGAGAGACGGAGAGGGCGAGGATGTCGAGGACGAGGGCAGGGGATTTCTTGACGGTGCTGTAGCGGAGACGCTGTTCACTGCGGATGGGGATGTGGTCAAGCGAAGCCCGGATTCGCCTGCCACGAGAGACAGGGGGCGGTCGGCGGACCAGAGGCATAGGGCTGACTGATTTTGTTTTCTCATGTTGATCTTGGGTTTCCTTTTGTTATTATTACGGGTCGGCATCCATCCCATTGGATTCTTGGTAAATTATTTGAATACAAACATGAATCTGTGCATAAAAGTAACAGATGGTTCCATCCGTCATATCTATTAGGGCTGTCTTTGGTCTTGGTCTTACCACATATTTAATGGATCAGGCACTTGCTTGTTCGAACAGTGATACCCACCATGTGTGTTAATCTTCAAGAGCAGAACACTGCGCTGACAAGAACGTCATAATGCTTCAAACTCTCAAAACAACCGTCTGTTAAATGATACCATGAAATTCACATTGAGTCGTATACTTGGTGGTACTCGTCAAGGGACCAAAATGGTTGTCAACTCTGTTCATCATCTTGTCCGTTCCCTATCATATACAACAACACAGTACAGTCTTCCAACTGCTGCCCTATCATCCAACCTGGGTATAAAGTCCACGCTTTTCCTTGCTGCAAGCTGATACTGCCCTTGATAGGATATAACACAACGCAAGCCACTCCCCACCAAATAGTTTCTTTCAAATGCTTCGTCTGAGTATCCAGAACGCCATCGCTATGCTTTTGTAAACCGCCAAAACCCAACTGGAATGAAACATCTCGACTTTGCCTTCAGTCTTTCCACTTATTCTCTTCCCACCCTGGCCCGGCGTGAGGACCCTCCCTCCCTGCTGGTTCCTACTGCAACATACGTTAAAAAGTCCATTGGCGTTCGCCTGCAGCCTCATAATGTCGGCATCAATAACTCGGGCATAACGTCAGGTCCTTCCACCTCAGGCAGATGACCCGAGTCTCAGCCAAACTCCAGGACCTCAGTGTATTCGCTCATTCCAAATCCATGGGGTCGGCTATGCTCTGGTCGCCAATTGAGCTCAGCCCGGAGCTTGGCGGGCGCGAATCTTCCCTGTCGCCGTTGATGCCCTCCGGCTTGTCTTCTTCTTGGGGTTGTGGTTGTGATGTCGGTCGTCGCGCGGCTTCCTTCATCTTCTCCTCCCATAGGGCGATGCTGTGGTATTTGCCACCTTCCACCTCGACGTTGCCGTGTTCGATGCATTTGCCGAGGAGCGAGCCCGTGTAGCGAGAGTCGTCGTCGTTTTTGCTGTGTTTTAGCTTGAGAGCTATAATAGATAGACTGGTGTTAGCTGATCGGATCGAGTCTGAGGTGAACTTATCTGCCGGGACCTGAACACAGGCAGAAGAAGATGAACTCACCATTGAGATAATCCGTCGCCTCGTCACTGTCAAGCGCTATCCTCTTGATCTCCTTGTTGACCGGACCTGCCGCCCACGCGACAAAGGCGTCCACTCCCCGAGTGTCTTCCACGCCGTTATACAGCTGTTCCAGTTCCGATTTCTCGGGTAACAGAGCGCCGATTTGCTGCAGGGCCATGCGCACGTCGACTATTGTTGGTACCAGCTCGCCCGTCTCGGGCTCTTCGTTGTTGTGCGCGGCGAAGGTGGCTGTGAGGCGACAGAGTGCGTCCAGGTAGCGGGCGGCCATGTCCGTTACTGAGTCGAGCACCGAGGTGCGGGCGCCGTGGTAGCCGGCTGCGCGGAGGATCTGGAGAATCGAAGGCCGGAGGAGGGCGTGGTAGAGGTATGGTGGGGGTGTCATCTTGGCGAGAGTCGCTCGATTTCAGCTAGGTAGGTTTGATGTCGAGGATGGCGTCGCGTTGCTCGAGAAATGTCGTTGGGAAAGGTTGTCGTCTACAAAGGTGCCGGGGCTGATTGGATATGATGGCAATCAAGAGGGTAGGTGAATGGGCGCGCTGCAGATATAGAACTGCCACACGCGCCTGGCCTCGTGCACTTATTCTTCGTTGTCGAGACACTGTCTTTGAGGTTTCGTGTCTTTTTGCTTGTCGATGCAGGACAAGTAGTCGGAGTCGGAGACTGATCAGCTATACCAAGAAAAATGACTTGGGCTGAACCGTGGCGATGGCAGCGCGTTGCTGGCAACAGATGGAAATTGGCTTTCCTCCAATTCAATCGCAGGCGACGAGGTGGGTTAGGCTTTCGAGGGAGTTTGCGGCCCGGCTTGCGGCAGGCAGCTCTAGTGGGGCGGGTATCGTCACTGCAGTCCGGGTGTTCTTGGAACTGGGTCCCTTTAACGCTCGCCGGAGGTGAAGGTCACTGCGTAACCTCGAAGAAGTTACAAGCCGACGAAGAGTGTCAATACATGTCAGGAAATGTTTGTTTGTTGATTATGGTTGACAATAGGGAGAGGAAATAAAAGAGGATTGGATGAAAGACAAAAGGCATAGAGAGTTTCCGGGCTCTTGGCGGGTGAAACTGAGGAGGCATTACAAGTAGCTCCATATTGTCATGGTATCGTGCTCTATTCAAAGTAGTGTAAGAGGTATAATAGTATCTTGGAGGCATACAAGCTTCTTGACGATACCAAACCTTCTTCTCACTTGGGCCAGTCGCATTGATACACTAGAATGGGTGATTTTCATCAGAAAAGCACATGTCAAGTCGAAGTACACAGGACGTTCTGGAACAGTTGGACAGCGGCACGTTTCTATTGTACCCCACCTGCCGCTGAGAAACCGTAGTGGAGTCCTGGAAGCCAAGCTCCGATTTGGACCGTGCAACGACGGACTTTAGCTAAAGGGGGCCCACCCACTTTAACATTTCGCTGACGCTCGTTGCATCATTTCCACTTTCAGAACGCGCTTGTCGCAACAGCGGCTTTGATAGCTGCACTGAGCGCGCCTCACCTCCCGCCTTCCTCCCCGCCCACCAAGAAACCTCCCGCTCGCGCCTAGGCCCGCCAAAGAAAACGAAGAACATAGTACCTCATACCTTGTTCGATCCACATCCCCCGGTAGCAACAAAGAGGCATCGCGCCTGTCCGTCATCACCTCGCCCTCATCGAAATCTTGACGGTCAAATCATTGTTCAGTCACGACCGGCCGCCCGCCCATTCTTAATTCCTACCTAGAGGTAACCTCGTGCCGGTGCCTCCCGCCCAATTCGACGCCGACTATCCATACTACGCCAGTACTCAGCGATTGAGCATTTGCTCCGAGTGCTCTCGGCATCATTCGCTTTATTCCTCAACGTCCTCATCGTCACACGACCTCAAGACGCCGCAGCAAACCACTCTAAAACGGATTACCAGAGCGCCTTGCGCAACGACAAACAGCAAACATGGACCCACCAGGGCCAGTCAAGCGGACATTGACGCTCAAAATCAACACTCAATCCAATGGCTCATCTCAAGCAGGCAGGACGGGATCACCGGCAGTTACACCTGGGCCTGGCCATAACCTCTCTGCCGCCTCGCCACCTCCTCAGACACCGGGGGGCTCGCAGGGCCCTCGCAAGATCAAGCTCAACGTCAAGGGCACATCCTCACAACCACCAACACCAGCCGGGCCGAGACCGCCGTCGCATTCCAACACTTCATCTCAGCCGACACAACCACGGATATCAACAGGAAGCTCGGCTGCTCCCAACATCTTCATGTCCAAGCCCAAGACGGCAAGTAAAGTCTTCTTGAACGCGGCGGCGAGAAAGAGACAAAGAGAAGAGAGCGAAGCGGAGGACGGTCCGACAGCGAATGGCATTGGGGGAGAGTCAAGGCCCAAGAAGATCACGCTTAAGCCACCTTCGGGCACAACCCCGGTTCAAACTCCGCTTCTAGCTCCCAAGGTTCGCCTAAAATCGCAGGGTAAAATACCAACGCGGCCGCTGGGGGAGGGTTACGATTCGGAGGCCGATGATAGGGAAGTCGACCCAGTAATTGAAGAGCAGCTGATCTTGCGCATGATGCCTGGTGAGCACTGCGACTATCTGCGGAAAGCCGTGGCTGAAAGGAAAGTGGGCGTTCCTAAACATCTGGGTGGCGCCGATGTTACAATGAAGTTTCTGGATGAAGAAGGACGGCGAGTAATGTTTGTTATCCAAGGGCAACCGTACGCCGCCATTCTGGTCGATCTACCCACAATCACCGAGGGCATGAAGACGTGGGACAAGAAATCCATGGTCAAGTCAGCCGACATTTGCCAAATGATCCTTGTTTTTGCTAAGGTCAAAGACGAGGCGGAGGCCAAGTCGGTTCCTTTACCCAAGGCTGTCGAGCATGGCCACAGATGGCCCCATGGTATCACCCCGCCGATGCATGATGCACGAAACCGGAGGTTTAGAAAACGCCTCAGCAAACTGGAAATCCAGAACAAGGAAGCCGAGGTCGAGCGGTTGCTGGCAGCAGACAGGGAAGCCCTCAACTCCAGGTACGAGCTTGTGGCAGAGGGCGGGCACGGAAATACCGCTGCGCCCGAGTCCGATCACGAATACGGTGACGAGGATGGAGGCATGGGAGGTGAAGAAGACCGACTAGAGGACTATTTCGGGGACGCAAATGTGCAGAACCAAGACGACGACAACCTGTTCGACGATCTCGAGGCAGAATTCGAAAACGCGGCAGACACACCTGCCGAAGCAATGGACGCCATGGACTTTGGCGCTGCCACGCCCACGGCGATAGGCGGCGGCATGGATCTCCCCACACCCCCCACTGCCAACACGGGTACGCCTACCGCTGCACAAACCGAGGAGAGTGCGGCCGAAGCTGTCAGCGAGGAGGACGAATCAGATGAAGATGACGAGGATGATGAGGGTGACATGGACGATGACGGCGATGAAGAGCGCCATGATGAGGTGGCGGGAGTCAAGGCTGAGATTGCCACACTGAGGAAGCAGCTGGCCTCGTACGAGGAGCAGTTGTCCAAGGCAATAAGCATTATCATGAAGAAACGTCTGGAAGGCAGCATCAAGAACATCAAGTCGGAGATTAAACTTAAGCAATCTTCGATTGGTGAGGTGTCCGAGGAAGACTGAAGGGGGTAATCAAGCTGTGCTGTTATGGACCTGGAATCTGTTTCTCAGAAAGGATTATCGTATGGGCCATATTATATCATGCTAGCCAGACACTCAGAAGTCAGTAAATAGCACCAAGTTTAGAATGCCCAACGAGCGGCACAAAGAAATAGCATCTGTTAGGCAATATATTTACCAATGCTTGGGAAGCAAGCACACGAGCAATATTCTGACCTGTTGTCCAAACTTTCAAGTTTATGGTTACTTATCACATTGTATTTGTACAGAATCATTTTTGGATCTAACCACAGCAGATGGCTCTCTGGCTGTCCACTCCAGGGCTCTCAGGCCCTCCACCCTCCCAAAGCCGTATATAGTTTTCTTACATTCAAGACAATTTCCCCATGTCCATGTTGTCCGCTTTCGTGCCCGTAGCCATACCAGGAATTCGTTCTTGGACGGTTGGATGTTAGTAGTACACACACGAACCCACCACATCAACTCGACTGCTGCTGCTGCTGCTGCTGCTGCTGCTCTAGTCGTCCCTCCTTCTCTCCCTCCACGTGCTCTCCTTCCTCTTCTTCTTCTTCCTTCCCGCCACCCATCTCCTCCCCTGTTTCGTCCTCCTCCTCCTCCCTCAGGCCTCTGCCTCTCGAACCACCACCACCACCACCCCTCATGCTTACATAGCCTTGAGGTAGTTACTCTCCTTAATCTTGGCCTTGCGCTCCTTGCGCATCGCCTTGCGCAGCTCCTCCCGCTTCTCGTCCGCCAGCACCGCGTCCTGCACGCCGCCGTTCACAGCTCCGGGAAGGTTGACCGACTGCTTCTGTAGCGGGATCTTGGGTGCCAGGGCCTCGAGGTCGCCGGAAGCCAGAATCTTGGCCTCTTGGGCGCGCGCGCGCTTCATGGCTAGGCGACGCTGTTTCTTGGATTTGGCTTTTTGAAAGAAGAAGGAGAGTGTGTTAGTTTGGATTGCTTCTTTCGGGGGGGAGGGGAGGGAAAAGGAAGGTAGGGAGGTAGGTAGGTAAGTAGGTAGGTTGGCAACATACAGAACTCATCACCGGCGTCCGCATCAGCAGCATCGTCCGTCTTCTTCTGCACCTCCAAGCACCTCCAGAGCCACTCTGGGTACTCCTCGTCTGGCAGCGCCACGGGATCCGCCTTGTTCTTGAAGTAGTTGAGACCGTTAAGCTTGGTGCCCGCCGGGCAAGACGAGATGGCCGCCTTGGCTTGTTCTCCTGTCGTCGCGGCTCCTGGTACTGGTGCGAGGCCGGCCTCGGCTGTGGAAGTTGCTGGTGCGGCGGCGGCGGGGGTCGCTGCGGGAGGAGTGCACACGCTGAAAGTGGTACTGAAGGCGGCGCGCGAACTTGCGGCAACCATGGGCCTGGTGGCCGCGGCGGCGGCAGGTCTGGCGAAGCCGGAAGCCCGGCGCAAACACGTTCGGCAGATCATGACGATTATCCCGGGGGATGGTCGGAGGGTGTATGTGTGTGTGTTCGTCGGCAGTCGGCAGTCGGCGAGTGGGTAATAACACCAACGGTTGGATCAGTTGGATAGACAACTCGCTAATCACCTTGACGGGTGCGATCGTAAAAAGGAACGCCGGCCGGAAGTGGCTTTCGGCCTGGGGAGACGGACACGGGATGCGCGCGACGAATTGGAGGGGTGGGACGGGAGCTAAAAATTTCTACGGCGGATGAAAAGCACCACTGGAGCAGTTTTGATATTGGACAGGACTACCCGCTGCAGCTGTTACTAGGGCCGTGACAAAGCACTTTATGTATTCTATAGTCCAAATCTGCGAACTGTACAGACAACATATGTGCAAAAAAAAAATGGGAGGCCGAATTGAGTCCTGTTATTCCTCTAGTCCCCCATGTGTCTGTTGTTGCTGAGTTCTGTTGATATTTACATGCCTGCTCGTAAGTCTCATTAAAGGGCCCGAGCACTCCTCTGGGGGTTGCTGAAGCCGGACGTCTGAAAGGGTGGCCCGCGATGTTATGGAGCCCCTTCCCGGTTCGACCATGACTGACTCGCTCTCCGGTTCTCGAGCGCACTGCCCTGCCAAAACTCTCGCTGCCCAGATCATTTCAGCCCCAAATCAGCTCGCTCTAGCTTGTACCCTCCGGTCTGCTCACAGAATGCTGGTGGAGAACTCATTGCTTTGGCTGGTTCGCGAAATGGTTCTGCTGCTCGAAAAGATAACCCTGGACACGGTTTTCGGAGAGTAGTTGGAGGTAGCGTTCTGCGTCAGAAGAAAGTCAGCAAAAGAAGGGGAAAAGCACCATCGCATGGCTGATTTGCATGCAATTGCTGAATGGTTCTGCCGCCAAAGAACCACGGGGAGATGCGAAGCACTCTTGTACCCACCTCTCAGATGCCCGCACTTCTCCAGATGGTTCACGCCCTCCCTATAATAGCACTTGGACAACTCCTCCCTCACCAGGCGACCCATCATAACTCGGACCCATTGCTCGCGGATAATGGCATCCTGGGCCTGCTTCAGGCGCTTCGTATCATTGTAGTCGACGCCGTCGAAGGTGGGCGGGACGGTGGGCTTCTTGGCCAGGAAGGCCGCCGATTCGGGAGTAGGCATTGCTGCTAGATGTGGGCGACTCGCGAGAGAAGACCGAAAGCACAAGTTGTCGTCAAACAAAGCTGTAGAGAGGGAGAGAGACGCAGCTTACTATCGTCCCGCACTTTCGTCTCGTCGATGATGCCGTTGCAACCAACACGGCGCATCTCTAAGCTCCAAGTGGTGCCCCGGTCGTATGGTGGCTCGAGCTTTACGGTACACCTGGGAAACCAGGCAGGCAGGGGCGCGCTAGCCCAAATGCTGTTCGTCTCTTGCACCATGCAGTAAAGTTGCAATTGACTGGGGGTCGTGGGCCGTGGCAGGCATGGGAAGGAACTTTCAGGTGGAACGAACATCCCCACCGCGGCTCGTGCGCGGGCCACCGCCTTCGCGTGTGTACATAACCTCCACCCGGATCCTCCACTGCCCCAGGTCCCCTGCCCCACTAGAAAGTCCCATATCAAAGTGTGATAACGATTTTTTTTCTGCCGTAGGTTGATCAGCCAGAGATTTTACGGTACCCGCCACCCTCTGCTCCCCATTTAAACAGCAGTCTTCCCGGCGAAATTTCTTTTCTTCAGACGCATCCTTTATCCCATTCATCATCTTCATCCTTCTTTTTTCTTCAATACCCTTTAGCGGATTTCATCACTTCATCACATCACTACACAACAACCGCTATCATGGGCAAGAAGGATTCCGTCAAGGCCACCAAGGTCACCAAGGCCGAGCCCGTCAAGGCTGCTAAGCCCGTCAAGGCCACCAAGGCTGAGAAGCCCTCCAAGAAGTCCAAGAAGGAGGAGTCCTCTTCCGAGGAGGAGGAGTCCGAGTCTGAGTCTTCTGAGGAGGAGTCCAGCGAGGAGTCCAGCGACGAGTCTTCCGATGAGGAGATGACCGACGCTCCTGCCGCCAAGGAGACCAAGAAGGCCGAGTCTTCCGACTCTGACTCCGATTCTGATTCTGACGACTCCGAGTCTGAGGAGGAGACTTCCGAGGAGGAGAAGCCCGCCGTCAAGGAGGAGAAGAAGGAGAGCGTAAGTACAACATAACTTCCTCTTCTTAGCACACATTTGCTGACCCACGTCTGCTTATAGTCCGATGATGAGGAGAGCGACTCCGACAACTCCGATTCCGACTCTGACTCTGACTCTTCCGAGTCCGAGGAGAAGTCTGAGTCCGAGGAGCCTTCCAAGAAGCGCAAGGCTGAGGAGTCCTCCTCCGAGGAGGAGGCTCCCAAGAAGGCCAAGACTGAGGAGGTTGCCGATGACAAGAGCACCCTCTGGGTTGGTAACCTCGGCTGGGGCATCGATGATGCCATCCTCTTGGCTGAGTTCGAGGACTGCGAGGGTGCTAAGAGCGCTCGCGTCGTCACTGACCGTGAGTCTGGCCGCTCGCGCGGTTTCGGCTACGTCGACTTTGCCACCAACGAGCAGGCGCAGAAGGCTTATGATGCCAAGAGCGGTGCTCTTCTTGAGGGCCGTGAGATGCGTCTCGACTTCGCTGCCAAGGATGCCGGCAACAAGCCCCAGGACAAGGCCGCCAACCGCGCTGCCAAGCACGGCGACACCATCTCTCCCGAGTCCGACACCCTCTTCGTCGGTAACATGCCCTTCTCCGCTGACGAGTCTGTCGTCTCCGACTTCTTCAACTCTGTCGCCTCCGTTGCCAGCCTCCGTATCCCTACCGACCAGTGAGTATCCCCTCATACCTTTGTGTGTATCTTTGTCGAGCAGAGTTTTAACAGTCTTCTAGGGAGTCCGGCCGCCCCAAGGGCTTCGCCTATGTTACCTTCAACTCCGTTGAGGATGCCAAGAACGCTTTCGAGCAGCTGAACGGCTCCGACCTCAATGGCCGTCCCGTCCGTCTCGACTACGCCAAGCCCCGTGACAACAACGGTGGCGGCGGTGGCTTCGGTGGCGGCCGCGGTGGTGGCCGTGGCGGTGGCCGTGGTGGTTTCGGTGGCCGTGGTGGTGGCCGTGGTGGCCGTGGTGACTTCGGTGGCCGTGGCGGTGGCCGCGGTGGCGGACGTGGTGGTTTCGGTGGCAGCCGTGGTGGCTTCCAGGGCAAGAAGACCACCTTCTAATGTGGTCAAGTGGGATTCCCGCACACATTGGGGAATGTGATACCATAACCTGAGGGCATTGCAACACAGATTCGCACTGGAGGGCTTAGTGGGTTGTCGGCTTTTGAAATCTTACAGTATCTCCTTCGTGGGAGATCGTGGGCTTTTTGAGAGATAACTGCTTCTCTGCTGCGTGGCAGGGAAAGCAAGCGATACCTGAGGGCTTGAAGATGGTGGTGAGCTGGTAGCTCTTTGACAGCTCGTTCGTACATGGCACGTCACTTCTTTCTCTCAACAGGAAAGTGAGGACCTCTGCCGGTGGGCTTGTTGGCTGGTTCCATGACCCTTTCGCGGTCGTCTGCACTTTGGATTCGATGCATACCAGAAGATTGATGGGTTCCAAGTACTCTGTGGGCTCGTGGGCTCTTGTGGGCTTTAGCTGACAAAACGGAAGAACGGAGAAGACGAGGACCTGTACTTGCACATGCCACAAACATGTGTTCACACAGCCTTATCCAGTCTGTGCTTCGGGGGTGGTTCATCGTTTCCTGTTCTTTTCCGGATATCATTGTCATTGCTTCTTCCTGTGGGGTTTCTTAAAGAGGGCATCTAAAAGTTGGTTTGGGATTTTCCGGTACAATCACGGGGTCACCTGGGGGCACTTAAAATGGGTTACGGGTCTTTTCTTTTTCTCTTTTTTTTTCATATCAGCATTTGCCCTTCACGATACATTATCGATGGCGCAACGGTACAGAGTACGGGTGATCCTTCTAACGAACATTACCCGGTAAGTAATCTGATACTCTTCCCCTGTTTCATATACCCAAGTCCCAACGGACTAGAAGTAGCAAGAAAGAAGTATTGTTCAGTAACTGCGATGTTCCAATGATGTGACTTGGCGTTATGTTGGTGATGTAGTATATTGAGACGTAGACTTGTGTATGACGATAGGATTTTCCAAATACTGCTCGTTCACAAATGCCTTGATCATTCGTTACGTGTTTCAACATGCTCACAGTTGACCGCGATAGCTCCCAAAGTGTCACGAAGCAAATCCCGAAAAAGTTGAATTCAATGAACTCGGTTCGTCTACAAGTCATCTCAATAGTCGATACATAAACAAGCCCAAACTAAAGCCAAAGTCACGCAACACCGAGGGGGAAAAAAAGCACCTAGACCTGCGACCAAATCGGGTAACCAAAAGAACAAGACCAAATCCGAGTCCCGAAGAAAGAAACAACCAAGATGGGAAGAGAATAACAAGAAAATAGCAGATTAAGAAGGTTGATGATGCGTGTATGCGTATGGCTGTCCCTATGTCGCCACATATTGGAGGTAAATGTTCTGCATACCATCGTTCTCTCCTATCTTTGCAGCATTTGTTGGGGAATATTTCCTTCTACGTCGTCCATCGACTTGGATTCTTTCCGTGAAAGACCTATTTGGCCCAGTGGTACTATCGGTATGATAAATGACGAGAGTTAATTCCCGCCGTAGCCGTAGCCGTAGTTGGTAGCAGCCAGTTGCCGTCATCGTTAGTGCTTTAGTGGATGATATTCATGGAGCTCGTGTTGTACAAGAGCATGTTGGCTGGCTGGCTGACCAGGAGTTCTGTTCTCCCTCCTTTTTTCTTTCTTTCATCTTTGAGGCCGATCGATAGACAGACATGCCGCTCGTCAAAGTCGTAATGCGTTGCGTCGTTCAAGCAACGACACTCCTCCCAACCGAGCCCCACCTAAACCTCTTCAGCGTTCCGCTCGTCGTAGACCGCACAAACTCCTGGCCGCAGCTCGAAGAAGCGTTCGAGGCCGCTGATCCTGCAGAGGCCAGGCTTAGAGCGCTACTGCTTTCTTGTCGGCCGACTTCCCGTCCGATGACGTAGCCGGCGCCGAACCCGACGACTGACACGAGAACTACCACGCCGGCGCTTACCACCCATGTCAACATGGTCGGGCTTAGGAAGAAGGGGGAGGCGACATCGTTATCTGACACAACCCCCGCTGGCGAGGGTGAGTTTGCCCTCCTCTTCTTCGCGGTACGCGCTAGTTTCGAGGCAGGGTTTGCTCCCCGCTTGGTCCGTTCGGTTGTGGCAAGACCTTGTTGATGTTGCTGCTGTTGCTGTTCCCGGCCAGAGCTGGCGGATCGCGGAGCGCTTGGTGCACTGGAGTTGGAGGCGGTCCTTGCTGGTTGTCGTGTCTTGGCCTGGTTGAGCGGCAGTCCTATTCCGGAAGGACCTTCGGCCATGAGTTCAGACTCTGGCACAAGGCGGAACTCCATTGGCTGGGAACTGGGCATTACGCCGGTACCAGCAGGACCTGGGCTTGCCTCTTCCCCCTTGGGAAGGCCACGGGCGGCAGCGGCACATGACAAGAGGGTGGTGAGGGAAGCACGAAGCGCGGCGTCGTTGTCGGCTTGCAGAGCTGGGGACAGAAAGTTGTGCGATGCACGATGCGACCGGGTTTGCGAACGGGTTGGCATGGATGGCCGGGATTGCGCGGGATGATATGGGTGGGATGGACTTGCGGATTGGTGGCGTTGCATCATGTAGGATGGTGGATGAGAGAAGGCGTTCGGCTGCGGCCTAAAGGCACCCCGGGCCGTGTTGGTTGGCCGGCCGAGAGCAGTCGCATTCTCATCATCATCCGAGTCGTCCTCCGAGTCTACTGGTAGGCCGCTTCGGAAAGCAGTCTGTTGACGGGGCAAGCTGGCTGCTGGATGAACGCCTTCCGTCGAGCTAGTCATGACTCTGTCCTCCTCGCTCTCAGTTTCATCGTATTCATCCTGGCTGCTCGTCCCGGCAGGGGGATTCGGTTGGCTGACGATGAAAGAAGCAGGCATTGGTGCTTGCTGTTGGGATCGTCTCCGTCTTCGAGGGTATGAGTTGTTGCCGACCCGGAGGCCCGTAGTTACAATCTCATCTCCTATCGACGACAACGAGGATGACGATGGTTGCGATGCGATCTCAACCCAGGAATCTAGTGATGTGAGCGCGTGTTGTCGTAGGTTACAGGAGATATTGAGGGCCAACTCACCATCGTTACGACGGCCATCCACCGGCCGTCGTTGAGGATCGGGGGATGCCATGGTAAGACTCCGGAGGCAGGACACGTAGACGGGTTTGGTACCGTGAACGTCAGCACGGCAAAGTCCACTCGCGCAATGCTCACCGACAAGGTGAACTTGCTTAAACCAGTCCCCGGAAGACGTCCTAGGGGAACCAACAACTCCCGCGTCTGGACGCGGGAAAGCACAGGAATGAACGCGGTTTCGTTAACAGGGGACGAGGAATGATGTTGGCAATCTGGAAAGAAGAGAAGCCCAGTCACGGAGCAAGTACGGAGGGTGGTGGTACTATCAAAGCGGACGGCCGAAGGGACCTCGTGAATAGTTACGTATTAGGTATCTGTGGAACTGCATCTAATGGAAGTCAAGCAAAGAGGCACACCAAAAAGAATGAATCTTGGAGCCAGATACCCAGGGAAAGAATCGATTGCCCGTGGGATGGTATCGGCTGTTGGGAACGGAGGCTTTGTTGGGGTTTTCTTTGAGCACGCGAAGCCGCCTTTGGGGGATCGATGCGTGCGAACAGGGAAAGGTGTGTTTGGGAGGCGTGGTCTTGGTGTAAATGGGGGAAGTGGAAGCATGCCGTGCCAAGGTGAGGTAGGTGGTCTGAGCGGGCAAACACTTGAGAGAGAGAGAGGGGGGAGGGAAGGGCACCTGGGCAGCCTGGGCTGTGGTCTGGTGGGCGCTGAGCCATGGATGTTTTAGCGGCGGAGAGCGTGATCCATCCTCCGGAGACCTGTCAGTTGCAACTGGACCTTCAAGCGTGCAAGTCGAGGGCCGTCCCTACTTCTGATTGGCTTTGCATGCTGATCTGGGGATGGTCGCCTGCCCATCGTCAACCCCAAATGACGTGCTTATCTGGTCGAGCCTGGCTTCAATGGACGAACTTCCACTTGTCATGGATAAGAATCGATAAGACCCAAAAGCTTCCACCAAGTCACTAGAGTTACCAAACGTCACTACATCCGGCCGACAAACCTCAAGACCTTTTCCTCATGTGTTCAGTTCATGCTCGCCATCTTATCTTTCTCGGCGTTCGGGGCGCTTGCAACTAAAGTAGGTAGTTCGTCTCTTCAAAGAGATCTCGAGCCTCACCACTGTTGTCTACCCACTTCGACAATCACGGTTCTGTGATGTAGCGATATGATGTACCTATGGCGTAAGTCGGCTCTTCGAATGTTTGAGCAGGAATGCAGTACTATAGTGTAGGAATGCCAAAACCTGTCTGAGCGAGTACTTTTCCATGCTCCCCTTATCCTGCCGCCGGGCAATCTCGCCGTGCGTCCGATATGATGAAAGTCTCGCTGGGCAACTTTGATGTTCGTCCCATACACTGTAAAAGACTGTTTGGTCGGCGAGCGGTCGAAAGGTAAGCCGAATACCTCACGGTCTAATATATACACACCTTCAGGATATTCTTGCACGAATCCATGTGTGTTTATTGCACCTGTGGAACGAAATCCGAGACATGTTGAGAGTCAAACCATTCGTTCCTTACAGACCCTGGCCGACGTATTTTCGGCTTGTTACAAGTCACAGTTCTGCAACGGCCTTTCCTAGTCAAAGCGAGTGGTATTGGATTGGACATGTTCTGTTGATTCTTACGATGATATGGCCGGGAGTGCTGACTGCGACACAACCAGAATCTTCAACTTCGCCTGCGTGTCGGTACAGTATCCTGACAACTACGGTCGGTCACTTCCATCTCGCACGCTTTTATTTGACCCTTCAAGCTCGGTTCCATCTTTCCTAGCTTGAGCAGTTGCTTGGGTATCTACTAGTTCCCTACAGAGTATTTCATGGTCCTTTTTCTCTTGTCAAGCTCAGCCTTTCTGTCCAACTCACGGCGCTGCTTCCGAGTAGAGTTCCTTACTGGATGCACGGAAGCAATCATCGTTCCGCTCCAGTGCCGGTGTAACCATTTCAAGCGAATGCGAAACACTGGTTCATTGACCCAAGTACCCGTTCTCGAGCCGTTCTCCCGTCTTCCGTCCCGTTGTGCGGTTCCTACCTGGTTGCCACATGACCGTTCGAGCATAATTCACCCATTACACACCCATTCCGTTCATTGACCGCTGGAGCACGACGTCTCATCCACCTCCACAGCCATGTCTGGTCACCCCCTTCGACGCCGTACAGAAGAGGATACTCCAACCATATAACAACACCTACCTCCTATATACGGTTATTCAAATGAGCTAAGCTTACCCCACGCTCTATGCAGCTATGTCACTAACTGCCACTCAAGGCGCGTCATTGAACCTGCCAACGGTATCTCCTTCAAGCCGGCTCTGACGTGGCAATCGTTTCCGATCTCCTGCTCTGAATGGGGAATGCCCTGTCCTCGCTTCTCAAGTCTGCAATAACCCGAATAGCGGCGACGAGAACGGAGATTGTATAAGACTGGGTCACGACCAGCCTCAAGTATGTCAGCACTCTGATCGCATTGGAAGTGGTACGAGAGGGCCTCATAACCGGCAGCTTTGAACGACCACTCCCCGTTCGGCAGTTATCGCCAAGATTGACGATGTGGAGGATTTGCCAACAGCCCAGAGGCCGGCACTAAGGGCGCCTTCGACTGCCCTTCTCAACCGCTCTCCTTTGGTTGGTGAAGCACTGTTGATGACTTGAGTGGGACCATTTCGCAAGGCTCACATTGTCCACCAGATGGTCGTCAAAAGAGACATCCTTCATGCACAAAGTGCTTCGAACACTACACGGTTAAAAGCGGGACTCGTGTGGTTCCGCAAATAAGGCGAGACAAATCAGTGTTAGATGACATTGGACTACGCGTTGGACTTTTGGGTCCATGGTTCCCTTTTTCGGAATTCAACAAGTTAACAGGTTCACAAGGGCTCTGGTTGACGCTCAGACCATATCAGGGCTGCCATATCTCGAGGTATGCATTTCCGAATCCACACACATAACCTCTTTTACGCAGATGGCACTCGCCCTTCCACGAATCCGAACTCACCACTCAACTGTTTCATATCGTCCTCTCTTCTGGTGCCACGTCTACGATCTACTAATCCATTTCATGCCCCTGATGTTTGCGGCTCTGTGATTTCAGCGACCCTCTCAGAGATAGGCAACTGTATGCAGGACAACTTGCACAACATAATATTCGAGAATCGAAAGACTGTCGGGTCTGTTTTCATTCGCTCTCTAGTGCGGAGCGACGATCCAAGCTTGGGTAGGAATGCTTCTCCTGCTTCCCCTGCAACTAGCACATACCGTTGTATGGTGCGGGCAGAACCAAGATTCTGGACACCCTCCACATACCCACTGAGACGTTACGTACATGCAGAGATGAGGAGAAAAAGAAGCGTGGCCGGGGAACGGGGGAACGCAAACTCCCCGAGTAGTGTATGGAGATTGAGGCTCTGCGAGAGACGCTGTCAGAGCATCGTTCGAACCACCGCGATCCTTAGGATGGTCTAGAGATGCCGTCCGGAGCATAGTATGACTGCCGATAACCGGACAACAAGTGATGCATCGGTACACCTACAAGCAGTTGGTATGGCAATTAGGGATGAACTGCTCTCATGATTAAGCTCGGGAACCCCGCTTGGTGAGGATGTGTACGTACTTGAGGCTCAAAATGGAGGATCTCTAGAAGTATAAATATCAGTACGCTTGCATGAGGAGGTGAATCAATGACTAGTCACACCGACATCGACCTTCAGAATCATCTCTGATACATCTGAGAATCACTTGCTATCGAGAAGTCAAGAAACAAAAAAGACAAAATCACCATGAGCCAGTCAACCCATCATGAATCAACCTCAAACCATGAGAACACTCTTGAAAACACCCCTCCTACCGCGCCCCCTCCCCCTAGAGATGGAGACGATGATCCGCAGGAAGACGACCCCTTCTACGATGATCCGAAGGTATGAAAAGACTACCATCGTCAGTCCCAGGCCATAGAGCAAGCCTGGACCGAAAACCATATTCTCATTAACAAGGACAGTGACACTCCCATCCCTCTCCCCAGCCACGGGGGCGCCGGTGGTGTGGACTCTACAATTTCTATGGGAATGTCAGGATCGTGACAGTTGACAGCGAGCATGATCTTTAGTGAGCCACTCTCTTGCTCTTTTCTCATTAACCCATATCAATATTGAACCCTTTCCAATATTATCCCAATCTCAAGACAAGACAAGAGAACTAACGAAGAGCGAACGGCCTCCATAGATACACACGCACGAACGCACTACGCCTGACGACAGACACCACACACACCATGAGGACACTCCCATTTTACTTTCTTCGAAGGAGGAGGAAATACTTACGTTGGGAGGAATAAATATCATCTTGCTATACCCTGTTTTTTTTTGGTTTTTTTTCCATTGTTGTTTTTCCGTGATGAAGGTCCCCTCTCTCTCCCCCTGATTGACCATCTTTCTGCTTTCACTGTCTTCTGGTTCCTATCGGCAACATTTCTTCTTTGACCTGTTAAACTTTTTTTTTCTTTTTTTCTTTTTTTTTTTTTCCTCTTCTCCTCTTGCTCCACCCGGATTCCATGTTTTCTACTCTTGCAGTTCCGTTCAGTCCGATTCAGTTTCGTTTGGCTTACTTGAGAGCCGCTTGGCTTACTTAAGAGCCGCTTGTTATCATGTACTTACTTACTTACTTAGCTATTTTGCAAATGCTTTTTATCCTGCGCTATCACATGCATACCTAGCTACATAGGTATCTACCTACCCACACAAGAACACCTACCCGCTATTAGTAACAGTGCTACGGACCACGTTATGTATATGTATGTATGTGTACACCTACCTAGGTACCTAGGTACACAAGGCCCCAATCTTGATATGGTGCGATGGCAGTGATAAAAAGTCACTGTCAGAAGTCATGTGTAGTGCTTTAGTGAAATATCTGCCTTGTGTCCGTCCAGCTCGGTTGGTTCCTAGTATGAGTCCGCCATGTTCATCATGGGAACTGAACTCGGTTGTTTAGATTGTCCAACTTTCCTCTCGGAACTAGAGCTTCGTATCAGTGGCATCTCAATAGAGAGAGAGAACGAGGAGTGACTTTTCGTCTATTTGTTTTTTCTTCAAAGGGAAAGTAAAAGAGGAAAAAAAAAGGGGGGGGGGGGAAAAGGAAAAAAGGAGAAAAGCGCAGACATCAACAAGGCACAAGGCAAATCACTTGTCAAATAGGTCGCGATTCGGTTGTTCAAATGTATCTGCCGCCAGCAAGGCTAGCAGGTATGATATATTATACTATATGCAAGAAGGTATAAGAAGGATGCAAGCTAGTGTCTGCGCAAGACGATGCCACCACGAAAAACTGCCAAGTAGCATCTGCGCAATAAAAACAAACTTGACCGCCTTGCGATAATGTCACCTTTGACGTCCCTCCTTTTTCCCAACTCCCGTCCTACGCATTGTCACTCCTACTACTCGCCTAGTCCCTCAACAATCATCCATACCCCACCCAATCTCCTCTAAGTATCCCATTACAAGGCGCTCAAATCCAACGGCACACTGCTTCCCCTGCCAGCGCGATACTTCCTTGGCCCGCCAATGAACTCCCTGGGTTTCGGAAAGGTATCCTCGCTCGCAAACTTCCACCTGGGATCCTGGACGATGTATCTCGCACTGCCACCACCCGAATGCACTGGACTTGGAGACTTGTTTCCGCCTGTACCATTCGGTGTAAGGATGAAGTTGCTAGGATCGAGCATGGACTTGATGCCGGAGCCTGATCGTGCCGATCTCGTCGAGGGCGAATGGGAGAGTGGAGGAGGAGCTGGGGCCGAGGATGGCGGCGGCGGAGGAGGAGGTGCGGGAGCCGAATGGGAAGGGCTTGATGCTGTTGAGCGAGGAGGAGCGCTGGGCGGAGGTGGAGGAGGGGGTGCTGCTGGCGAAGAGGCGCTGCTCGCAGCACGGATGGCGGCTTGGACGGCAATATTCTGGGAAAGATTGCTGGTCGACGAGGACGGCGGCGGCGGTGGAGGGGGCTGCGAACGTGATGGAGCCGGTGGTGGTCGCGGGGCGGCTGTTGGAGGCGGCGGGGGAGGTGCTGGAGGAAGAGACGGGGCGGCAGATGAAGGCGGAGGAGGAGCAAATGAGGGTGGTGGAGGTGGCGCTGAAGGAGGTGCCGAAGAGTGGATAGCCGCGGAAGGCTTGCGGGAGCCTGGAGGAGGAGGCGGTTTCTTGCCCACTGGCGGCGGAGGCGGCTTCGATGATGCCCCATTCGCAGTCTTTTTGAGGTTGGGCATGGATGGGTGGAAAGTAGGAGCTGATGGCCGTCCAGGAATTGTCGGGGCTGCGCCGGGAGGCGGGCGGGGGGCCGAGACCGTTGGTGGTTTCGGTGCTGATTTGGATGTTGTTTCCGGGTCGGAAAGATATGATGCATCCCGGTTGGCGCCCGTGTCTACACCACCACCCGTCTTCCGTAGCTTTGGCATGCCTCCGGCGAAAAGGCCTCCAAGCTGCGGTGCAGCCTCCATGCCTGTTGATCCACCTTGATTCCGGTCGGCTACATCGCTATCGCTACGGGCTCGATTTCCGGGTACTGGAGGCGCAAGACCTCCGGGAGCCTTGGGAAGGCCAGGAACAGGGGGAGCCCCCCCCTAATGGAGACGGACCTGGTCCGCTGCCTGATGTTGGGGCGATGATGGGTGCTGATCGATCGTTGGTCACTGCTTTCTTGAGCGCCTTGCCCTTGGTGATATCTGTGAGCAGAGCACCCTGTGAACTAGTCAGTACATCTCTCATGATGCGGGCTCGTGAGACCGAAGGTGTTCTTTTGGCGCACCCTATTAGGAAGACCGGCAGGTGGTCGGCCTGGAAGTGCTCCAGGGGGAGGTGGCGGCGGCGGCGGAGGTCCCCCCATACCCGGAGGCGGCGGAGGGGGAGGAGGTGGTGGAGGTGGCATTGCGTATTCTTTTTGTGTTGGCGATACGAGGGTTGAAGTGGAAGTCGATTGAAAAGTGTCAGGAAGTGAGAGACTTTGACGCTCAGCTTGTTGCCTTAGTTGTAGTTGCGGGTCGAACCGAAATTACCGGTCGATTGGACGTCTGCAGTGTCTGAAACGGGACAGTGCCACAAGTGTACTTATTTCGAGCTTGGTACGGGGGTTCCGGCGCTGGAGCACTGGCAATCGTGTGTAGTGCGGTGGTTAGGTGTTGAAGACGGGACGAGATCAGGTCGGGTACGTATAAGTCAAAGCACGTGCCAGAGTAGGCGAGCGTTGGATTGTTCCTTTGTGAGATGAAATGTCGAAGTTCAGTGGTTGTCTCCATATCCCAGTGGAAGTGGAAGTGGAAGCAGGCTGCGTCACTGCACTCCTTTCGAGGGCGCTGGCCGGCGGTTGCCTGTGGGTCAGTGCGCTACAGCGGGGTTCCTTGGATGCCAAGCCTGCCCTGCAGCATGAGACCTGACTGAAGCTTAGGGGCAGTTTCCACTCTGCATAAATCTGAGGCTCAGCCACCTGGGGCTCAGACACCAGCCCCATGATGGAGTTATCCATCACATTGTCCTCTGAATCCAGTCAGGACCTTGAACTTTCCCTTCACTTGGATTTATTTTCTCATCGCCCGCCCTCCAATATTCTTGAGCCAAAGCGTCACTCAATCCTCTCAACCATGGCTGTCAAAGAAGGAGGGAATAAGAAGGACTGACACAGCTGCCCGTGCTTCCTCGTTGTCTTTTCATCTGGATACCTAAGTACCTAGTCAACCAGTCACCACAACCTCAAAACTGATTCTCTGGCAGCTTCGCGCACCTCAAAAAGAGCGACGGTACGAGACAAAACGCTTGCTCTGGGCTGCTGGCTGAAACAAAGATTGAACAGTAAACACAGCGCCTCCAATCGAGGTCAAAGAGTCCCTCCCAAAGTGATGAGCTCTTGAACTAAGCTTTCTAGAAGCCGTCCTGGGAGTAGATCTTACGTAAAGACCTTAAACGTCAAAGATACTACTATATCGGCTTTGCACTCCCAGTCTTACGGACGTGTTGTGTGACATGCTGGCTACGGGCATCTCCTCCTTAGTTGCATGTGTCCATCAGCACCGCTACCTTGCTGGCCAAGACCGACCCAGATGAACCGTCCTGTCTAGGTTTTGGGTAGGATTTCGGCTACTCGTTTAAGCTAGCGTATAACACCGTGGCACAGAGACCAAGAGGCCAAGAGCACACCCTATGCACCGATCTGCAGCATCAGGTCTAGCTCTGCCAGCTCTTTTTTGACCACAGCACAAACCAGAGAGCCAGACACTCCGGCCTCACGTCCTCAACTCCAATCACCACCTTTTCTTGACCCCTTTTCCCAATCCCGCCGTCTGCGTGCTCGTTTGCCCCTGCGCCTCCAGATCTCCCAGGCACTCTCTGGGCTCTCCACACCGCACGCGCCTATCCTCCACCTGCTCTCCGTTGGTGACTCGGGGCAGTGGATATCCCCGACTTTCCCCACCAACTCTCCCCACGGGGTCGGGCGGGTCCCATCTTGACTTGACGACGGTAACCCGGTGTGTCTACTTCACCAGGTCTTCAGTTCGCCTATCATGCTTCTCCGTCCTCACAACCTCAGGGCCACCACGGTCAACCTCACCACCGCCACTACCGGGCGGCAGAGTCGTCAGACCTGCGGCCTTATCTACTCCCGTCAGCAACATGCCCGACCGGCGTTTGCGCCCGTGTCTGCGCCGTTTGCCAAGCGCTCCCTGGTGACACTGAGTGCCGGCACACAGCTGGCCAAGCTCACCCAAGAGGGCTCAGCCGTGTCGATCGCTGCTATCCGTATGCTGAGTACCACTAGCTCCCTTTCAAAGGTGAAACGGGTGCCGTCTCCATTGCAATCCGCCCAGAAAAAGAGTCCCAAGGCATCCCAGTCGCAGAATCAGCCATCGTCTTCGTCGCCGTCATCGCCTTCTGCATCTGCTTCCAAATTCACGTCCCCGCAGAAACTACCGAAAGCCCAGCAGCCGCCAGCCACCGAGACCGCACCCCTTCAAGCCCAGGGGCAGCATGCCACTCCGGATCCTGACCGTGTCACCAAGGAGTTTCTGGCCAAGCAAGGTATTCCGTCAGAGCACATGACCCTCACCGCTCTGCGCGCCTTGGTCCAACCAACCGTCCCGTCAGCGGCTTCTGCCTCTGCTGCTGCTGCTGCTGCTGCTGCTGCTGCTGCTGCTGCTGCCTCTGCCTCTGCCCCTGACTCCTCTCATGATAGCCAGCCCCCCGCAGCCGGTGCAGAGGCCGATCAGACGGGTGCTTCTGATCTGCTTGGTCTGGATCTTGACGGCCGGAACGCCCGGGCCTCGGCGGCTGCTCCTGGGCAACCTCAGCCTCTCACCTACTTGAGCTTCAACAAGGATGCTGCTGACAAGATCTCAGATGCGGCCTTTGCAATCATTTCGCATCCTCCTGTTGTCATCACCCCGCTGCTGCTCAAAGAGTATGTTGCTCTCCAGGCCTCTCTTGGCAAGCCCAAGACGCTGCCGTACGTTTTGGGCCTATATGCGTACAAGGCAGCCCCCAAGCTTAGCTCTGGAAAGCTGGCTTACAAGAAGCGGAATCCTGACATGCCGAAGAACGCGGTGGATCCCGAGGTTGCTGAGATGGCACTGGACGCAGCACTGGATGCCAAGGACCTTGATGCCGCTGTTGGCATTGTCGAAAATACGTACGCTACCAAGGCTTTTACCCGCGCCGAGTTGTTGAAAAAGGCACTTGTACCCATGACCGGCTTGGGACTCACTCCAGTCGCTGCTTGGGCTCTCGCCAAGAACTATGGTACATGGCAAGATTCAATGGAGACTGTTATGGCGACCAACGTAGCCTTCTTCGGCATGCTGGCCTATGTCGGCTTCACTGCGACCATGGGCATTGTGGCCACTACCACGGCAAACGACCAGATGAAACGGGTGACCTGGGGCCCGGGTATTCCGCTGCGGGAGCGATGGATCCGAGAGGATGAACGGGCCGCTTATGACAAAATTGCCTGCTCATTCGGATTTGGGGAAGTGCTTCGTTACGGAGAGGAGGAAGGAGAAGAGTTTGACGTGCTCCGTGAATATATTTTAAGCAAGGGTATGATACTTGATGCCGTCAACCTAATGCCAGGCATGCAATAAACCGCGGCCTATGGTTGACTTGCGGCATCTATCTAATCGAGAGCCAGAGAACGGCATTCATTCCCCACGCCCCCCCCGTGCAGCTCGGAAGAGTCTTGGCACCATGTACTGGTGGCAGTGAAGACTTAAGAGACTGAGTTGTCGAGATGACCCCGGCTTTCCTAGCTTGACCTCTTTACCGCTCGGTCACCAAGTACCTTGGTTGCCAAGCTAGCGATCGGCGGGAAGACTTACATATTCACAAGCCATCAAGGTTGCCAAGGTCGTCTAAGAAGTCCCAACAGATAAGAGGATATTAAATCAGTCTAGCATGCGTACCGCCCAAAATGGACATCAGACTCGCTCGCCTCCCTTTCCGTGCAGAGGCTCTTCTGCGGCTTCCCGTTGCCTTGATGTAAGCACGGTAATACAGCTAGAGTGTTGAAAAGGAAAAAAGAAGCAATCATCTGCCGGCTCTTACTCTCTCATCTCTCTTTCATCTTGTACCGCAATCTTTGAGACGTTGCATAGATTTCCACCCAACCGACCGTAGTCCGTCCCACGTCTCCGTTCCCCACCTAAGACTAGGATGTTTCTCCATGCATCCCTAGTCAACACTTCGATTACTAGTGTACTCCAGTAGGTTGAAACTACCGCGACCTAAATCTGATCTGTGGCTTTGCCTAGTCGACATTTCCCCTCTACGTCACCCGAGTTGCTTGGCGTTGATTCTCTATGCCTTGTACTACTTGTCCCTCCTCCCTATTCCTTTTATATATATATAAGTACCATGTCCCCCATGCTGGGCGTGATTGGGAGTGTGTGATCAAGAGTTCTGAAGCAATCACACATCTCAGAAATCATTCACTTGTACCTATTATATCAAGTTCATCTTCCTTACAAGTCCAGTAGTCTCATCATTCAGCCTAGCATGGCCGGCGGTTTTGAACCCATTGACCCTGAGCAGTGTCAACATTATGCCCACTTCGCCGCACATCTCGATCGGACGGCCTTTGATGGGATATACTGGTCCCTCTTTGTGTTTGTCATAATCATGCTTTTCCTCGCCTCATGGAAGTACTCAGGGTATGTTATCCCCCCCACACGTCTCTTTTCTCCCAACAGTCACTAATGTGTTCCCCAGGACCTGCGAGGCATTGGCGAATTCCAGAGCTGGGACAAAGCACTACCGACACAAGATGCAGCGATGCTTATTGATCTGCACCGGTTACTTTCTGCTTTCCATCATTGCCCTCGTTATGGAGGTCTACGCTCTGCTGGCCTTGCAATTCTGTGATGGAGAAGACCTCATGTCGCTCTACTGGTCTACTTGGACGATGCTGCAGGTTGGCTCGCTCATAGCCATCTTGGGCATTATCCTAGCTGCCTTCAACGCCATTCGGGATAGAAAGAACCCGTGAGTTTCCCCATCTTCTCTGTCACTCAGTCACCAAAATCAACTACTAATATCATACTACAGACCTTGGGCACTAGCACTCGGTACTCCTGTCCTCGTCGTTGCCGGTATCGGCCACGCCTTCCACGGCGCCATGCGCAAGCGTGTGCAGCGCGTTCGATCCAGGAGCTTACGCTCCCGGAGCCGGGGCAGATCAGAGAGTAGTCTCAATGGAATCTCCACCAACGATTTGCCCATGAGCAGGGAGTACGTTTACCCTATTTGTCTTTTGCCTTATCGCTGTCTATTCCCGGCACAGAATCTAACACAGACTTCCAGGGAGACGATCCGTGTAGAAGATTGTCCCAGCGGTGATAACAACAACAACAACGAATACCGCGCCAAACTACTCGGCTACACCCCCGAAGGCGCCCCAATCCTCCAGTTCGTCGATGACCCCGGCAACAGCATCGATCCCGAGCGCGGCACCATCTTGGGGAAAAACACGATGAACGGACAGATCATTGTTGCCTTTAATAAGAAGTCTATGATTATGGTTTCGGACGGCGGCAACAGCAGTGACTTGTCCACCCCAACAAACGAAAAAGCGGCGGCGGCTTCACCATCATCATTACTGGTGCCTCCTCCCGTGCCATTCCCTTCGTCGCCAAGGCCGCCACCGGTCGTCAGGATTGCTGCTCCGTGCCGTCCGTCAGACGAGGAAGTCGAGGAGGCCGAAGTGCATGTCTCCCCTGTTTGAGACGGGAATGTCTTGGGTTTTTTTTTTTCGGACGCCACCCACTTTCCGGATTTCCCCTTTTTCTTCATCTTTTGATTTTCTTTTCTTATCTCTTGGCTTTTTTGTTCTTTTGGCCCTTGTTTGTTTTTGTGTGATATTGTGATTTTCTTTTTTGCTTTATCTTGGGTTTCAGCAGGCATTTATGATCGACGGCGGCGGCGTTGGGCAACAAGCAGGCAAGCCAGCAAGCAAGCGGAACAAGGGCAAGCAAAATTACGACATTACGAAAGTTCTCTTTTTTGGGGGCATAGCGTTCGGTATAAGAAAAAGCAATTTGGGGTTATCGGGAGTTCCGTTTTGTTTTTTCCACTTCCTTCTGTTTTCTTTTCGCGTTTCTTGTCGAGAAATGCCGTACTCGAATGTCCATGTGTTGAAAAGAAAAAACGGTAGATTAGCGCCTTCTTCCCGCGCGGCTGGGCTTGCGTTATCTAGATACCCATGGCGGGTGCGTGAGAGCTGAGATTGAGTGTAGGGGTGGGAGTAAGGGAAATGAGATTGTACCTAGATGCCCGATCACATCTATGCATGTCCAGGCTTATCAATCACAAACCTTGTTGTTCGAACATCTACACTGCGCTGATTTATCCCTTTAATTTTTACAGCCGTGTGTTATTGGGGCTTTCGTAACCATGTTGGAGTGAAACAGATTATTTCATACTCGGTCCTGCTGTCGTTTTTAACCCTTCACCTAAATTGAATAATATGACGTCCCTTGTTTGCTCTGTAGGGTAGAAACTTTGCATTGTAGATCACTTTACACAAATACCTCAACATTTATTCTATAGGACAGTTGACAACTAAGGCAAGGTAGTTACCCGTCATTGTACCTCCTAATGTTATCCGTCATCACTCATCACTCTCTGCTTCGCCGAGAAGTGGCATATATACATGCATACCTCTACTTACATAGTGTATATATATGAAGGACCTGCCAAAAACAGAAAATGAGGTTGGTTGTGTAAGCATGAATACCAAGCGGGAACACTGAGACACGCCCTACTTCCGGCGAAACACGTGTGCTGACAGTGAAGGGTACCAAGAGATGCATGTCTTGAGTACATTTTTTTTACCTCAGAGTATGGAAGGGTTTCACGTGCCAAAGCCATTTATTCAAGCTGCTCATCTGCAGTGTCCCCAACGATGGCAAAGTCAATGGGCGCATGACCACTTGACTGTGTTGATTCCGGTTCTGATGAATAGTGTACAGTCTGTTACTATACTATCCTTTACAGATAGGTTTGAAGTGTCATTAGACTTGGGAGATCCGAAGTATCGTGAAACGGGAGGACAACGCAAAATGTTTATCAAGCAAATTTGAGCGGATGTAGAACGAGTGTCGTGAAAACCCAAGGAGGAAGGAAAGAGAAGAACTAGGTAGGTACCTCTACGCACGAGTCTGGAACTGGAAGTCGCGTTCGTTTCACCGTTCACGTGGCTTTGCTTTCAAGGCAGGGGCTTTAGTAGTATGTAAGCTGTACTTAGAAAACAATATTCAATGGCGGAATAACTCTGTTCTTGACAAACTTTTGTCTTACAAATTGGAAATCTACCTTGCACCATTACCCAATGCTGAGATGTACGGCAGAGTTGGCAGAGTACCTCGTTAGCAAATGGGCCAAGCAATGGAACGGAATATTACCTATCTTTGAGTTTAGCTTGACACACAAGTGGAAAGGGCGACGGATTACCTACATCGTCTCTCCCCTCCCTCCTCCGTTCGTCCTCCGTCGTCCCGGTCGGTTTGCCTACCGCAGGGCAGCCACGCGTACAAGGAAGGTACACATGTACACATGTACACAATGCAAGAGTTCGGACGATATGTGAACGTCCGGCTTGGTATTTTCTTTTCTCTTATTTTCCCCTATCATCCAGGATATCATGGGAGATGAGTTACCGCAGAAACTCTCATGTGTTAGAATGTGAAATGGTGGACACTTTTCTTCTGGGCTTCCCTACCTATCAAGGACAGCACCTACGGTTTCGTCGGTTGGTGTCTCTCTGTAAAGGTAAGGTTTCACATAGCCACCATTGATATGGAATGCCAGATTCCGGGGAAGACAAGGGCAAGGTTGATCCTAAAAGATAGGTATTTTCGCCTCTTGGTGGAGTTGTTGGTTTCGGATGTGGTTTGGTCGGGTGTTTTGGATCTCAAGTCCACAACGCCAAGCGGTGGAGGTCTTTGAATCTGGGGTGCATAAATACGTATTCTCCATAGTCAAGTCGATCTTCTGCTCTTATCAACCTGCACTACATACCTTTCCACTCTACACATGGTTGGTGAGCCCCGTACGTACTTACTGCGTAGGTACTGTCTTCATTTCCATACCAGTGACCTCGGTCAGACGCAATTCATCTCATCTATCAACCCCTCTCCCACCGGGATGATTTCAAGCGCCCGCCTGTGAGTGAAGACGCAAGTCGGTTTTATCTGAGACTTGGGAAAATGACACAAACTTCCAAGCAACATGTTGAACACCACAGACAATACAAGATCTTGGCCCTCTTCAGGCTTCAAACATAGGGGACACAGAGATCTTGGCCCACTATAGAAATATTCCAAGTGCAACCCGCGCCGTGCCCGGCGCCGGCGCCGCCGCATGCCAGACATCCCAACTAAATCATCCCTCGTGGTCAAGCCGGAACAAGTGATAGGCTGTGTTGAGACTAGTGTACGTCGTCGTCATTTTCTGGCTAAAGAATGCGGGTACCGACATCCCCCAATATCGGGCATACCAACCTAAGAAATCACATTACAGTTAGTCAATTCAAGATAAATGCAACGGTGGTAGTTTAAGTCAACAACTAAGCACCTTTGTACATACACTTATCCACCCTATCAGTCTAGATTTCCAGCTATATGTACACGCATATTACCCATCAAGCTTTCTTACTTGGGAAGCCTGGGTGTTTGTGATTTGCGAGACCACCTCTATCCAGGCACATAATCTGAATGCTGTACGTAGCAGACCCAGGACCGAGCCAAGAGAGTTTCTTCGACCAAGGAATATGGTACAACAAGTTGTAATGTGGTGGTTGTTGATGTTACCCAGGTACAATACCAAAGTACACACAAACATACGTAGGGGGGTTTACGACGGAACAAGCAAAAGAAAAGGAACAAGGGCTGGCTGGTTGGCTGCATTGTTGACTAAGCGGCAGCTGGTGATCAGGGGGTGGCTTTCCCGTTCCCGCTATCGTGGGAGGAGATGGGGGAGGGGGAGGCGCAGTTGTATATATTCACCCTACTGGGTACACTACGTAAGTACTGTGTAGGGAATGTAGTGTAGAGTAG